CTGCGCTGTGCTGGGACTCAGGGACAGGGGCAGCACCTGTCCCTCTGTGTCCACACTTCCAACTTGCCCCAGAGTAGACCTGACCCTAATGGGTGCAGTTGGACAACCAAGTCGAAGGAATGGACCATGGGGAGCCACAGCCTAGATCAGTACCCTGGGGAAGCCAGGAAAAAGGGCCCAGACTCAGAACAGTACCCTTGTTAGATGCCACTGGACAAAGTTAGTCAGCCTATCCAAGTCAGTCTCTTCATCCAGGAAATGGGTATAATGACTCCCACCACCCAGCTGCCTAGGTATGCATAGCACATTACAGAACTTAATGCAAATGTCTAACAGCAAACGGGTGAGGGTGAAATTGAATGAATAAGCTGTGGGCCCAGTGTGGTGGTGCACCCCTATAATCTCAGTATGTAGGGAGGCTGAGGCAGGAGGATTCCAAGTTCGAGCCTAGCTACATAGTGACTTGGTGAGATCTTGTCAAAATAAAAGTTTAAGAAGGGCTGACGAAATAGTGCCGTACAGGGGTTCTGGCTCAATACTCAACACTAGAAAGAAAAAAAAAAAAAAAAGAAAAAAGAAAAGAACAGATCTGGTTTGAAATAAACATAGCAGCTGGGTGTGGTGGCACATGCCTGTAATCCTAGCACTTGGGAGGCTGAGGTAGAAGATCACTGTGAGTTCCAGGCCAGCCTGGGCTACATAAGTTCAAGGCCAGCTTGTGCTACATAATAAGATCCTGACTCAAAAAAAGAAAAGAAAAGGAAAACAAAGCAGTAAGCCTGGGGCCAGCTCGCAGGTGGCCCCCCGATCTGACTCCCTACTCAGGTGTCACCCCCTTGCGTCTCTTGCACACTGACTGGGGCTGCCTGGCGTGGGACTTCGGCCAGGCCAGAGCAGTCCGTCCCTGACTGTGCTCCTTCAGGGAGCTGCACTGCCAGAGGCCACACCCGCACCCCAGGGAGCAACCTGCGGCCGTGTGAGCCTGGAACACACAGCCAGACCCTTTCCCCAAAATCCTAAATAAACAAATGGAACAGAAGTCCTTCCTGCCCCCTCCCACGCCCCCTGCAGACCACTGCTCCTGCGGGTGACACCGACACTGAGAGTCTCACAGCGCAGGTGAGGGGCACCTGGGTTGTCAGGTCAGCCCTGACACTGTGCGGTCACAGATCAATCGCTCTGCCTGGTGCATCTGAGCAGGCCCTGGGCATCTGGGGCCATGGGGCAGAGCTTCATTGTGTGAATTCCAGGCGGTGCTATTTTGTCTTCCGGTGCTTGGCTCTGACCCTGCGCTGCACCCAGCCCCTTGCCTGTGCCTTTTTGTACGAACCTAGCCAGGAACCCCTGTGCCACATGACACTCATGGGTCACTTCAGTGCATGCCCAGTTTACTCCCTGGTGTCGATGTGTGAGGGTCCCAGCATAGGACCCCCTGAGAGTGGGCAGCCCCCTCCAGCTGGCACATGGGCTGCTGGCACTGGATGGCAGAGCCTTGGGACGAAGGTTATCCTCTTGCCTCAGCCTACAGAGTTTTGAGATGACAGGCGTGTGCCACCACACCCTGCTGGTCCTTGTCCTCTGAAATTGGCTCCTGAGCCTCCAGTTAGGAGTAGCAGAGAGGGCAAGAGAGGCTTGGGCACCCAGCTTGGGCTGGGGTGCAGGCAGAAGGAGCCACAGGCTTGCACTCCACAGGTGGAGGGGGCCAGATCTGGGAAGAGAAGGGACAGGGAGGTGCAGGTATCCAGGGTGCCCAGGGCAGAGTAGAGGAAGGCAAATCGCCCCTCTGTCTGGGCCGGGTGTGTGTTATTATTGTTATGTTATGCAGTGTCTCAAGGCTGGCCTTCGTGCTGGTCTGGCCGGGCCTGAATGGCCCCATAAATCCCGGCCATAAAGAGTAATGAGGAGACACAAATGAGATAATTAGGAATAAATCTCACCGCGGCCTCTATCCATCAGCATCCTTGAAACCGGCCAATCTTCCGAGCCATTAGCTGGGCCCCTAATTAATGCTGAGCTGCCCAGCTCTGCGGGGGCTCCACGACTGGGAGGGACCCCAGTTGAGGGCACAGCTGCCCCCACAGCCCACTGTGGGTGACCTTGGGAGGAGCGGGGGACAAGTGCCTGTCCTGTCTCCTGGGCCCACTGTGGCTGCCCTGTCCTTGCCATGTTGCTGCTTCTGCTTCCTTTCCCTGTCTACTAAGCTGAGGTGTCCTCCCTCTCATCGGATGCCACTGAGGCAGGAAGATCTGAGTTAGAGTAAGTCATGGGACCACCTGTCACATCCAGGTAAGGACTCCATCTATACCCCGGCAGTGGCAGTCCCTTCTCTTGGGCTCTCCTTAAGACTAAATTTGCTGGGCTGGAGATTTAGCTTAGCGGCATAAGCGCCTGCCTTGCAAGCAGGCAGTTGTGAGTTCAATCCCTGGTACTGGTAAAAATACAAAAAAAAAAAAAAAAAAAAAAAAAAGATTGAATTTGCCATCCTCCTGCCTCAGCCTCCCAGAATGGGATTATAGGCATGGGCCACCACGCCTGGCCAGCTCCCGATGTTTTAATCTGCCAATCTTCCCCCTTTTAAAGTTACATACAGCCCCCCTACTTCTTTGGGGAGCTCCTCCCCTCCAATTATGCATTCTGGTTCTGAATGGGCAGCCAGGTAACTGACCCTCCCTGACTTTGGCCTGACCAATCATAGCCCTCCATTCCCAGGCACAGTGATGTCACCTGACTTTGGCCTGACCAATCATAGCCCTCCATTCCCAGGCACAGTGATTGGCCAGTGGTGGGCCTGTAACTCAGCCCAAGCCAAGCTGAGTCCTTCCCTGGCCTTTACTGTGGTGGCTCGTGGCCCTCCTCAGCAGGAAAGCCGTGCATGGGGAGGAGCATCAACATGGTGGACAGGGCTGGGTCCACTGTCTCTACTCTCATGCAGGGCTCCTGTCCCTCAGCATAGGGCCATTCTAAGGAGCCACACTGCTTTCCTAGCTGTCACAGAATGTCTGCGGTTGTCCTGAGCCTCGGGGATGCCTGATCCCCCAACTTTGTGTCTGTGGGACTGGTGGACTGCTTAAAGTTTCCCCAAGCTGGTACCTCTGGGGTCCCAGGAAGGTGGCATCCTGAGGCTCCGTGTTGCCCACTTTCAGCAGTGAAACAGGGGACGTCCCTGACAATGCAGGGCAGTGGGGATTGTGGGGGAATGGAGCTGGCCTCCCTCACACACTGTCTCCTGGTTTGGTGACTTGTTGTCTGGGGTGGGGGCGCCCTGGCTTGGCCTCACTCCTCTTCATCTTCCCTCCGTGCTGTCAATGCCCTCCTTGGCATGGACAACCAGGGGACGGGCAGCCCCTCGGCATTCTCCTGGGCCTAAGTGAGGAGGTTGGGAGGCAGGGCGGCCATGGGGCACCAGGGTAGGCCTGGGGCTCTGTGGTTCAGCCCGGGCCCTGACATATTTGTGCCATGTGTGAGGGGCACATATGGAGGGTGTGCATACATGGTGTGTGGGCTGGTCGCATGTGGCTGTGTGAAATATACATGCATGACCGCATGGAGTGTATGCATGTGTGCATAAGTGCACGCGTGTTGGGGGCCTGCTAAATCCTGCCACCACTACCCCCATCCCGGCACCCCAGGTCTCAGGTTCCAGCCACTGTCCTAAAGCAAACACCTCAGGCAGCCGAGGCAGGAAGCCAGTGTTTGGACTGCGTGAGGGCCTCTTCCTGCCCACCTGTGCCAGGAACCCCACTCCCTGTCGCCCCGGCCTCCTTCCCATCCTCGGTCCCCAAGAGGAGGGGAAACTCCAAGTGCACTCCGAGCCAGCTGGGTCATGACGGGCTGTGTCACAGCACTGGGACCAGGGGGCGGGACAGGGCCCTTCACACTGAGCAGCGGCCTGGCCACCTAGTCATACACCGGGTCTCATGCTTGTCATATTCAAGTTCCCCAGATGCACAGAGAGCTGACAAAGCTGAGGTGTGGCCCATGCTGTGTGCACTGTCCTCGCACTGTATAAAGGGGAAGCTGGTGTAGGTGCTACACATGCACCCAGATGGGGCCGGGAACTCTGCACCCCGTGTTCGAGGGAGGAATACAAGAACACAGGGAGCGAGGTGGGGTCCTGAGCGGGTGACCCGGGGCAGGTCCCTTCCTGTCCTCTGTTTAGGGTGTGTTCCAGGGGTCAGAAGACCTGAAGTGGGCCAACTGAGGCCCGGGGTATTCCCCAGAAACTCATGCCCTTGGCCCGGGCTGCCACACCTGGCGACATTCTGGGGCAGTCTGACCCCTACCGAGTCCCCTTCTTCCCTTTAGCATTGCCTGAATCACAGCTGACATCAGCCCTGAGGGCAATGCCCCACTCTCCAAGGTCCCCCTCAGAGCCACCCAAGTCCCTCCCCTGCGACATCTCTGCTCTTCTGACTCCTGGCTTCCTGGAGGCCTAGTGTGTGCACTGACCCTGCCCCCACTGGGGTCCACACCTCCCCACCCAGCTTTTCCGTACTCAGGTCTCCCCTCCTCCCTGCACCCACGGGCACGGGACAGCTGGCTTCAGGGGCTTCCCTAGTGCCCACGAGGTGCCCTGCTTTCTCAGCCCCTGGTGACAGGGCAACTGAGGCTGGTGCATGACTCCCAATCAGGGCCCAGCTGGCCTCCCAGCAAGGCCTGGTACACACTGGGCCCCTGCCAGGCCTGTGCCATGACATGGGCGGCGTCCTGGGCCTTCGAGTAACTTCACAGAGGCGCCCTGGAGGGCTGCAGGCAGCAGCGGATTAATCAATCAAAACTTGAGCACATGTGCTTCTCATTAATCCCGGTGTGCCAAGGTTAACTCTTCCGGGTCTTTGGTGCCCTTCCCTGGGGAGGGGGAGGTGGCAGCCCTTCCTTGCCTCCTTTCCTTGTAGGGGACATGAATGAGGAAGGAGGAGGTGAGGGGCCAGGTCTGGGGGGGCCATCCCCACGGGGTGCAGTCACAGGTGGAGTTTGCAGCTGGGGCAGGTGGGAGGACGTGGAGATGAACAAATATCTTTATTTACAGTGACGAATAGAAGACCCTCCCTCTGCGCCCGCCCTGTGCCCTTCCAGGCTTTGCCGTGCTGTGCCATGCTGTCCCGCCCCAGGCCTGGCCTCCAGGTCACTGCGCGGGTCAGGGAAGTACTGGCTGGGTTTGGCAGGCTGGGAAGAGGCTCTTTCACATTTTGCTGTCCTCTGGCCAGGGCAGCAGGAGAGGAGACTCGGGGAGAGAGGTAGAGAAGCCGGCAGACCCGTCCCTTCCCTCCCTGTGGTCACAGTGTTCTGCAGCCCCACCCGGCCAGTCCCGGGGAGGGGGCTGGGAGAAGCCAGGCAGGCCCGGGCGTGTGTCTGTCCATCCCCACGTGTCCCTCGCTGGTCAGGAGGAGAAGCAGAGGCCACAGCACTCCATGCAGATCTCCAGGCAGTCGGCCGACTCGCAGCAGGCATCCAGGATGCCGCAGTCCAGGTCGCAGGGCAGGTCGCAGTCGGCGCACTCGCCGGAGCCACAGCAGCAGCAGCACAGACATGAGTCCTCCGAGCCGCAGGAGCCGCAGGTGGCGCAGTCCAGAACCAGGTTGCAGAGGGTCAGGAACTCACAGAACAGGCAGGACAGCACGCAGTGCACGCAGCAGTCTGGGGTGGGGTGGGGGGCAGAGGAGAGGCCACTATGGGGACCCCTGGTGGCCAGGCTCGGTGCCCAGGCCAGCACATTTAGGTCAAATGATGACCCCAGGTGCAGGGACTCAAGCCCATCTGAGCAGGCCTTGGCCTCCCTTGGTTTACTGGCTTAAGAAACACTCTGGGGGTGACAGGTCCCTGGTACCCACTGTCCCAGCTGCTGTGTGGGAGTAATCTCGTCTAGAGCCTCTGTGATTCTGAGCTCGGGCTGCAGAGTGCCCTCTCCCTAGATGTAGGAACTGAGGTGTGAGGTTCAGGAACCGGGAATGGCACCTAGACTCCCAGCCTGGAGTCTTTAACCCCGGGGAATGCAAACCCACACACCTCCTCCTCCATCCCCAGGACCCCGCAAGCCTGCTCTCCCATTACCCACCCCTCCTCCTACACAGCGTCACCCCAGGGTCTTCCTCGGCTGGAGAGCCCCCTCCCCCGTCCCCTGCCTTCCAGCTGAAGGGGGAGGGTACTCCTGGCCTGGCTGGGTCATGGCCCCCACATGCACCCTGGGAAGTCACTGCCTTGGGGCTCTCCAGATGCACTGCAGGTCCGCCTGGCCGCTCCCTAGCCCCTGACTGCCTGGAGTGGCACCTGTCACCTCCCTGGCTGGGCCCTCCCATTGGCAAAGCCTGCAGAGCCTATGGCCTTCCCTGCCCAGTGTGGGTGGCAGGGGTGTCCCCATGTCACTCCAAGCCTCTTTCTCTCGGCACTTGTCACAGGTGGGAATGCGACCTGGACCACAACCTGCTCCCTACAGTCGTGCACACTGAATCCAGGCCAGGGTCCCCCAAGATGGAAGGCGCTAGGGGTCAGGCAGGCCTGAGCACAGGCAGTAGAACTAGGGCTGGGTGGCAGGGACCTGTGTTTCGAGAACAGCAGGTGGTACTGCGGGGTCCTTTGAACCCCCAGCCCATTAAGCGGCATCACATTCAGCCAAGTGCTCTGCCTTCACTAGCCACATAGTCCGCGCCTCTAGGAAAATTTCTTTCTTTTTCTGTTTCTGGTGCGGGTGATCCAACTCAGGGAACCCCAGGTTTTGCATGGGGCAAGCTCTACCACTGAGCCGCACCCCCACCCCCTCCAGGAGAATTCCTGATTCCAGCAATAGAATGGTTGTCTTGGTGGTGTCCAGCTCTTCTCAGAGAGCAGGGGCCGAAGGGCTCAGCCTCAGGAATGTGCGCATCCTCAATTTACCCAACAGGTGCGCTCTGCAGGGCTGGTGGATCTGAGTGGGCGTGAAGGGCTTTGGGAACCCAGCCCCCGGGCCCCATGCAGTTCAGGCCTGGGGTTCTGCATTTCTGGCCAGCACCTGGAAACCATGCAGGGCGCTTACCTTCCTGCGCCTGCAGGGGGATCTGGGAGGAGGCCGACTTCGCGCTGGCCTTGCTCTTCTTGCTGCCCTGGCTGGCCAGAGAGGGGTGTGTCTGCAGCTTCCGGTGGGCCTTGGGACCCCCAAGAGCACCATTCCCCGCCGGCTTGGCACTGCCCAGCTCTGAGGGGTGGCTAGAGCCATTCGGCAGTAGTGGGGTGCAGCCCAAGGGGTTCCCCTGAGGCTGGCCTGGAGAGGTGAAGAGAAAGGATGTTGGGGGGAAGTGTGGAGGCCCCCGGCAACTCCCAGTTCTGCCTGATGCACCACAGGGCATCGAGCCAGACTGTCTTCTGCAGAGAGGAAACTGCTAGGATGGACAAGCCCAGAGTCACACCGTGACATAGCAGCAGGCTGGATCCCAGCTCCTGACTCCCAGTCGGTGTCCATCCCACAGAGACACAGGTGCAAGGCCAAGGGGCGCTCAGAGAGGACCCCACTTCCGGTTTGGTTGAAACTGGTTTTTTTTTTTTTTTTAATCGGTACCAGGGATCGAACTCACGACTGCCTGCTTGCAAGGCAGGTGCTTATGCAGCTGAGCTAAATCCCCAGCCCCCGAAACTGGTCTCTTTATGCCTAAACTCAAGCTGGTTTTGAATTCACCACCAGATCAGGCTCGCCTTGATCTAGCAGTGATTCTTCTGCCTCAGTTTCCCCAGCACCGCCACATCTGGTTTAAGACCCCGCTTTCTTACTCCACCTGAAACCCGCTCTCCTGTTCTTGGCGTTGGGACTTGGACTATGGGGACGGGGTGGACGGGGCAGCAGCGAAGCAGTTAACCTTCCCTCCGCTGCTGCCAAGCCCCCAGCTGTTTTTGCCCTCCGTGCACTGGGTGACTTATTGGAAACATCTGTTTGGAGATGCAGCCTGGGCCCGGAACCCAGGGTTTCCTCAGGCAGCCCCCGCCTCTGCTCCTTCCCCACCAAGCTCCCGCTCAAGCCTTGGCCCCCACCTCTAAGGCAGGCGGCAGAAAGAGTGGAGTGGGGGCCATGGAGTCTGGGAGAGAAGGAGAGGGAGCTGATGGGGAGGCCCCGGCTCCCTCCCAGGCCGGGCACCAAACCTCAGTCCTATCATTGAAGTCCAAGAAGCTGACCTCTAGCCAGCACCGGGTTTCTTCCTGGACTTCACTCAGGCTGGCCGGGGTGGCAGTGACGGCAGGCATGGGGACTCAGAAGGGGCCATGGGCGCCAGGGACCCCCCAGCCAGAGACCCGGCCAGGCCCTCTGTAAATGCCAGGTACTCCTATTCGTCCCGGGTTGCAGACCCCTGACGCTGGAATGCACAGACAGGGATGGAGAGGAGGGGCCTGAGCTAGCACAGAGCACTTGACCGAGAGCCTCCTGCACACCAGCCACCCACCTAGGCACTTGCTGAGTATTCTTACACTGAGTTCTCCACAGGGGAGCCCTGCTTTTCACGGAAGAGGGAACCAGCCTGGGTTAGGAGCTGGCACTTAGCAGGCAGACAGGCAAGCAAGGCACAGAGGATCAGATCCCAGGTTGCTACCACTATGCTAACACGTGTTCCTTATTGTTAATTTTAAACAGGTGCCCAGGTAGGACTTGAACTTTCGAGGCCTGCCTCAGCCGCCCAAGCAGCTGGGATTGCTGGAGCAGTTTATGAATCTGAGTAGTTACTCTGCACCAGGAACAGTATCAAGAGCTTTTCGTGTTGCTGCTTCTTTAAGCATTGCAAGAGATCGCTCAGTAATCCCATTTCACAGATGAAAAAACTGAGACCCAGAGAGGGCAAAACTTGCTAAAGTTCCATCAGCCCAGAAGTGGAGGAGATAGGGCCTTGTGTTTGTTAGAAAGGAGCCCAGGACAAGGAGGAGAAAGGAGGGGAGCCTCTGGCCAAAGGTGTGGCTGGGCCTGCATCTGGGTAAACAGGGGCAAGGCCAGGAGAAGTGGCCAGACCTGAATCATTCTGCCTGCCTCCTGGCCCCATGGACGGGGACTGGCCAAGCCTTAGCCAGCTGTGGTGCCCCTTGCCCTGCTGCCTAAACACGGGTACAGTGGGCAGCTGGGGCAGAGTGTGTGGTAAGCTGGGCCTGGGAGGTTCAGGCACAAGAGCCCGCCTGTGGCCTTGGCTGTGGAACAGTGTGGGCCTGAGTCACAGAGCAAACACTGGGGCCACAGACATGGAAGTGCCTGGCCCACGCCCGCTGGGGGTCCTGCTCCATGGCCGCTGTGCTGACCTCCTCTCCACGCTGCCAGCAGCGGTATGTCTGGTGGTGGCTGCGGGTGTAGTGCCAGCCGGCCTGGCTCCAGAGGTCCTGGCTGGAGGTGACTTCTACTGCCCTGGCCAGCTGGGCAGGCAGCATGGCACAGAGCCCACAGCCTGGGCAGGGACCAGGGTGACTGGTTTCTGAGCCTCACTTTCCTGTCTGTAAAATGAGCTTGGCCAAAGATAACCCTGGGTCCACAGGAAGATGCAGCCATCCCTGCTCCGGTCTCACCAGCGCTGGCCTCCCTCTGGCCCGAGCACTGCTCTCAGGGCTGTCCACACTGGCAGGCTTGTCTAAGTGGGAAGCCAGGTGCCCTCCGCATGCTGAGAGGAGAGTCAATTCATCTGAGTGGCCTTCCACCCCTACATGTTACCACCCCAGCCTGTAGTCCCCTGGAACTCACGCGTCACAGCTTCCGTGGGGACATCAAGGTCAGTACTGTCCAGGGCCTTTGGAGCCCCAGGGTCATTGCCTTGGGGCATGGGAGGTGCCACCTCCTCCAGGGAGCCCGCCTCCGACGCTGCCTCCACTGGGCGAGCAGGTACTGCTCCTACCTCCAGCTCAGGCAGGAGCCACTCGGTCTGGGCTGGGGAAAAAGCAGAGGGCCAAGGTGTATTTCCAGGGTGCCTTCCCGACTGCCCAGCCTGGCCTCAGCTTGCAGCTCGGGTGCCCACTGAGCTGCACTCTTGGCCCTATGCCAGGTACGCAGCCCATTTCTTATCCGGCACAGCTACAGACTCCCACAGTTCCTAATCCCCATCTGCGCGTGCGCAAGGGCGTTTGTGCTGTGTGCATGCATGTGGTGTGAGGAGGGCCCGGTACCCAGCAGAAGGGGCAGGAGAGACAGGGACAGGCGTCAGACTGATGGCATGAAAGCAGGCAGCGAGGGACAGAGAAGACCGGCAGAGGCCAGGGAGGAGGGACCGCAGGAACTGGGTCAGAGAGCAGGACCCTGGCCCGGCAGGAGCAGCTAGGCCGAGAGGCAGGGAGAGAGGCGAACCGCAGCCTCGTGGTAATTACAGTGTCCACACAGGGCGGGCAGGATGCAGACACAGAGCCATCTCCAAAGCCACAGTCCAAGGTGACAGGGCAGGGGCTCTGGGGACAGAGGGCAAAACAGAGGAAGCTCAGGTCACAGCCTGGGCCAGGCTGCCCGGGGCAGTCACGGTGGGACCCCACACCTGGAGCACACCCCTGCCTCTGGCACCACGCCACACACGATGCAGGGAGCGGAGATTGAGACACCCAAGGGTGACATGGCCACACGGAGGGGGGGAGGAAGACAGGGAGACAGCAGTCCAACCCAAGGGTGAAGACAGACCCCCGCCACACACATACTGCAGATGGCAGAGGGGTGCAGGGACAGAGACCGGATGGAGGTGGAACGGCAGCCTGGCTTGGAGAGCTGAGGGCTTCCGCATGGGTCTGTCACCAGCAAGAGGGCAGGCGGGTGTGAGGACAGAGGAGGGGACAGGGAGGGACCAGCTGAGGCTGCGCACGCAGGACTCCAGGACTCGGTGGGGCTGGACACAGGCTGACCCTGAGCCTTGAACCTGGGAAATTCTTGTCCCAAATACCCTGGCCCCTCGGGGCCCGAGGGACCTATGTGAGTGGCACAGAGTATAACAGCCCCGGTGGGCAGGCCGTGACTTGCCCAGGGTAAACCACAGATCCTGCTGGAGCCCGGAGTGGGGGCAGGGTGGGAAGGGCGTGGCGCCTGGGTCTCCACTGGGGGCCCTTCCTGTCCACAGCCACTCCTGCCCCACCCCCGCCGGCACCTGGGGCCTGTCCAGAACTGTCCTTGCCACCAGGACTGACCACGGACAGGTCAGGCAGATTTGGGAAGGTCCCAGCAGGACAGAGGGAGACAGCAGACGTGCGGGCAGCCCAGGAGCTTCGAGCCCCATCCTAATTCCCGGGGGTGGGGGCCTGCCAGCCCCACCCCCGACTTCAAGGGAAGCTGCCATGGCCCCAGGATCTGACCCTGGGGGCTGCCTCTCCTACCGGCAGAGAGGAGCACCAAGTCCTGTTCCCCACGGGCCACAAGCTGGGGCAGGTCCCCTCAGTGCGGTCAGCTTGTGTGCAAAGGGGATTGGAAGGCCGGGCCCCCAGGGTTTCCAGGAGCGCAGCAGGTCTTCCAGTTGGACACCTTGAGGCTCTGTCCCGAGGCCTTGGGGTGCACAGGGAGACACTGTCAGTACTGAAGTAGACAGGGCCCAGATTTCTGCCCTCCTGGTGCCCAGGGTTAGAGAGGAGGAAGGTGAGAAGGACTGGAGGAGGCAGAAGTCCCGCCTGTCCGGGCCCCTCCTCTCCACCCCTCTGGATTAGGAAGCCCAGAGTGGGGGCCTGCAGCAGCTGGGCATTCACCAGAGCCTCAGACCTAGGGAAAGCGAGGCAGGACAGAAAGCAGTTTGTGGTCTGGACCTGGACACACAGGGCAGCAGAGGTCCCAATGGGGACTTAGCACAACCAAGAACCAAGAGCAGATAGGACCAATCACATGCTCGGGGACAGGCATCAGAATCAGAGGGAAAGTGGGGTACGGTGGTGTACACCTGTCACCCCAGCACTAGGGAGGCTGAGGCAGGAGAATCACCAAGAGTTGCAGGCCAGCCTGAGCTACACAGTGGGACCTTGTCTCAAAACAAACAAAAAACCCCACAAAAACACAATAACAAAAAATAAAGACAAAAGAATCAGAGGGAAGAGAAGCAGCAGCAGTAGAGAAACCTGGGCTGGAAGGGCTGTCACCCCAGAGACACCCCAACATGGAGAGGACAGCCCTTGGCAAAGGAAGGGCAGGAAAGCCAGACATGAGGCGGTGTGACCGGCACACACACCGAAAGGCCACAGGACTAGCTGTCCCTTTGCGAACAGGGACACCACTGTCCCAGAGAGACCTGCAGAGCTCTCTGAGGAGCGTCTCCTGGAGGGGGTGTGTGCAGAGCGGCTGGAGGGTGGGGTGAAGTGCTCAGGGGCTGATGGGTGGGGCTGGGGCTGTCCCTTCTCATCTGGCCGGGTGGCACCAGCATGCCTGTGGCACCTTGGAGCAGAAACCCGGGGCCTGCAGCCCTGTGGACCCTGCCCTGTGGCTTTTCTTCCCTCCACGCCCGTGAGCAGTGGCTTGGGAGGAGTTTGAGCTCCAGAGCCCCAGTGCCTGGTCCCTCAAATCCAGCCCCTCCTGGCTCTGTGGACAGTGGCCTGCGCTTCCCCTTGGAGCTCTGATCTGCTCTGAAGAGAAAGCCAGGACTCTTCTGATCCAGAACCCTGCACTGTCTCTGCTTGGCCCTGCATCACATTCTTGCCAACATCTTTAATGGAGTCAGCGTATAAAGGTCCTGGGCTCCAGGCGGACAGGCCTCCCCATGGCTCTTGGCCATCACCAGCCTGCTGAGCAGTCTACCAGGGCTTACATGGTGCCTCTTGACCACTGTCCAAACCCAGCCCATCCTTCCTGACCCAGCTGGAACCTCTCTTCCTCCAGAAAGCTGACCCCGGGCCCGCAGTGCCTCCTCCAGGCGGTTCAGCAGCTGGGGACTTAGTGCCTGTGGCCCCCTTGCTGGTCATAGCCTGGACACCTGGCTGTTTGAGGGGACTGTAGCCCTGTCCTTGCCCTCCGCCAGGGCAGCTGAATTTGCCACATGCTGGAGGGCGCTCAACACAGGTCTGGGTGAGTGCTGAGTCCTGGAGTTTGGGGTGCCTCAGGTCAGGGGAGAGAGAGAGATAGAGAGGGTTGAGTCTTAGGACTGACCTCTGGCCTTGAGCCCCAAGGAGGCTGGAGAGAGTGGACTCCTTTGATGGACATGTAGTCCTAGGCCACCAAACTAAGCTCTCAGCTAGGCGGGGTCGCCTTGGTTTTATTTTAGGTCTGAAGGCTCTGATCCCCAGGAAATTCGATTTAGAATCTGGTGCAGGAATGTGACGCCAAAGCGCTGGGCAGAAATCTGTGTGCCGGGTTGGGAGCCAGGCTCCTGGGGCTCTGGGGATGGGTAAGGAGGCGGCCACTGGGGGAGCCAAGGGTGTGGGCTTGGCCACCTGCCCTGGCTAGGCTTGCTCTGAGTTCCCTGTGTCCCCTCCACATCTTGGGTGGCTAAGGAAGGGTCCCTGGCCTTGCCGTCCTGTCCTGGCCCGTGGGAATGTGGGGGACTCCGTCTCAGCTTCAGGCGTCTGTGGGGTTTTGGCTGGGTCGCTTGTGGTTTGGGCTTCCTGGGCAGCAGGCTCAGACTCCCAAGGCCATGGCAGAAAGGCAGAAAGAGGCCTGTGTTATGAAAGCCGCATTGTCTGGCTTGGGCTGCCATGGGGAGGGGGCACGCTGGGGTACTGGGGGCCTCAGGGTACTGCCCAGGAAGTGGCCCTGCCTGGAGCACACTGCACTGGGCACAGGTCACATAAGGGTGGGTCTTGGAGGAGGAGGAGGTAGGAGGAGGAGGAGGAGAAAGTAGATAAAGGAGAAAAAAGTATGGGGGTGGGAGAGGAGGGAAGTGGGGGGAGGGAGGTGGCCAAGGAAGGAGAAGGCTCGCAGCCCCGCCCAGCTGTCCTTGCAGCCTGGGGGCCCCTGATACTGGACAGGCTCCTTCTGCAGAAGGAGCAGGGACCCTGGGGGAATAGAGGTGGGGACAGGTACACTGGTCTCATCTGTGTGCTGGCTGTCACCCAGTCGGTGTCCTTCTGTCCCCACTCTGGTGTAGAAGACTCCGGCAGCACCACAGTCTAGGGGGGTCCATCTCGGGAAGACAGGAGCTGAGCCACTTCCCCAGCCAGACTTGGAGGCTGGGAGAGGGGGAACAGAGAAGTGGAGGCAGAGGGGAAAGAGGGGTGCAGGGCGGCAGAGCCTGGGTGACCCAGAGCAACACTCTGCACCCATCTCCTGCACAAATCCTAGAGCTCCCGACATCCCCCAGAAGCCTAAGGTGTACCTAGGGACAGTGAGGGGCTGGGACTCCAAGACAGACCCTGTGGGATGGCGACCTGACTTGGTCTGGAGAGTCCTCCTGATGGACATCCGGGAGCTTGGGTTCCGAGGTGGGGAAGGGGCTGTTTACCAGGTCTGCAGGCCGGGGCAGTGGGGCTCAGGCAGGACAGAAAGCAGGGAAGGGAGGGCAGGAGGAGGGGAGGGCCCGCCGCAGCAGCCCCGGGCAGACAAAAGTTTTCGGGAAGCGCCGGTCTCTCCCAGGGCTGGGGGAAGGGAAGGAGAGGGAGACCAAGATTCCCCCACTCCGGCCAGCCCAAAGACCCCGTAAATATTTACACACTGGGCAGAAACGGTGGGGACACACCAGGACAGAGACGCCTCGGAGTGTGTCTGCCGTGGGTGTGCTACGTCTGTGTGTCTGCTGTGTGCTGCTTTGTGTCTGCTGTGTGTGCACGCGTGCGTGCGTGCGCATGTGTGTGCGTGCTGTGGGTGTGCTACGTCTGTGTGTCCGCTGCGTGTGCGCCTATGGGCTGGGGGGAGTCGGAGCCAACTTGGCGCGGCCGCCTCGGTTCTGGCCAGGCCTTCCCACCCTGCCCTCCACTACTCCTGGACCGGGTCCCTGACACCCGGACTTCTCGCCCCAACCCCGCCGCGCTCCTAGGCCGTCTCCTCGCTCCTCCGGTGCAGAGACCGAACCGGCCGCCCCTCGCGCTCCTTCCCGCTCCTACCTGGCTCCGGGGCTGCGCCGGGGGCTCCATGGGGCGCGTCGTGGCGAGAGTGGCTTTGGCTGCTCACCTGGGACATCGGCCCGGGACCTGTATGGGACGAGGCTCAGCGGGTGGCGGGGGCTCGTGCCCTGTACCCGGCTGGACTCCCTCGTTGCGCGCCCCGCCGAGCGCCACAGCCCGGTGCCGCCCGCGCCCCCTCCTCTCGCTCACCCGCCGCGCGCCCCTTCCTCGATCCCCGCGCCCCGGCCCCCGGCTCCTCCCCTCCCGCCCCCCACCCTGTCCCCGCCCCTCCTCGGCTCCCCGCCTCCACGTCCCCTCCCCCCGGGCCGGACACGTCTGTCCGCGGGGCGCCGAGGCCCGCGCCCCCACAGGAAGCCAGTCCGGCGCGTTTCCTCCGCGCGCGCCCCGAGCGGGGCCCCGGTTCCCCCAGTCCCCGCCCCAGGCCCAAGCTCCGCGGACTGTGCAGGGGCTACATTTTTCCCTTTGTCTAAAACTGTGTTAAAAGTTTGCAGAGTCAGAGAACACAGAGAAAAAAACACCCGGCCAACGGTGGGAGCAACCGCACCCCCAAATCTCGCTCCAAAGACGGGGCAGTCTGGCTTCTCGGGTACCCTTTGCACATCCCCCGTCTCCATCTGGGTCCTAAACTGGGTCCTTGGGGCCTGGTGCTCTGTGACCCTCAGAACCCAGCCCGCAGAAGTCGTGGCTCTGGGAAACCTGACCCCCGACTCCCCAGCACCCCCCCCATCCTGTGCGTAACGCTGAACGCCCGGGTCCCCACCCACCCACAGCGTGGGAAGGCAGTTCGCGCCCCAGCTTTGGAGCCAGGCAGAGACGCAGAGCTCCTACAATGGAGGTGCGAGCAGAAGGCTAACAGGGGCGTCCACGCCGGGACTGGAGCTGCGGGGGTGGGGTTCGGGAACCCTCGGGTAACCTCGCGACCAGGTCCTGAGAACCGAGGAGGACGCGGACCTGTGGCTGCCGAGTGGGCCAGGTCGGCCCATGGATGCTCGCAGGTCGGGTGGCCCGGTGGGGAGAGGACAGTGCGGGCCACCCTTGTCTCGAGGAGGTCGCACTGGCCTCCGTCTCCACCGCAGGGTGCTTGGCGATGCCCGGCCACCTCTCCGGGTCCCGCGCTACAGCCAAGGTGGAGGGGGCGGGGCCGGCCGGGAACTCGGGGCTCCCCCCACCTCAGTCCTCGAAGTGGCTACTTACAGCGCTCGCCGGGTCCTGGGGTGCGGCTGGGCCCGGGCCCCGCGTGGCCTCCACAGCCCTGTCGCCCCGGGCCCCCACGTCTCCGACGTCGGTGGTGGCGTCCAGAGGAGCCGGGCAGGCAGAGAGCAGGGGTCCCGCTCTGAGGCTCCGCGGGGGTCTGGCCTGGTGCCCGGGAGCCCGCTCTGGACCAGGCCTGGGTCTGGGGACGCTGGGGAGCCTGTGCTCGCACCCCTTCCCGGCCGGGCTGAGTCACCTGGACGCGCCCATGCGGGCCTGGCGGCCGCCGCATCCTCACCTGGCCCGGGCTGGGCCTCGCTCCTCCCTGCGTCCGCCCTGCAGAGCCAGGCCGCCCGCCCGGGACCCAGATCTCGGCTCCGAGCCCTCGTCCTTAGCTTCGCAGGCTCAGTCCTGGACCCCTAAACCCTGGCTGGGTCTCAAGTCGCCTGTGGAATCTCAGAAACCCTCGGAGCCAGCCCAGGACTAAAGTCTGCTTGGGTGGCGAAGGGAACTGCTTTCAGATTGACTCTGCACGCTGCTTCCCTGGGTGTGCCAGGGTTACCTCCGAGGTGCTACACGGTTTGGGGTCCTGTCCTACTCGGATAAAAGTGTTTTAAAAACCAGCTCTTGTTAGAATCTGCATCTCAAGATGGGGGCAGGGGCCATGGTCCTTGCATGGAACCGAGTCTGTGTGTCTTGAGGAAGATCCCGCTGCCCCTGAGCCTCAGGAGGGACGACCACTGGGGCATCCAGTGTGTACCCCAAAAGATTCATTGAAGCACTTGACTGTGTGATCACTTTAGAGGGTGCCCAGATACATGTTATTATTTTTTTGACTCTTCTAATAACTTTATTTTTTTCAAATCTATTTTAAAGAGAAAAAAATTTCAAAATAATTAGGGGGTGAGCCAGGGATGTAGCTCAGTGGCATAAAAGTCTGCCTGGCAAGCATGAGGTCGTGATACCAAAAAATCGATCCCTGGTACCAAAAAATTAAGGAGTAACAATGGTATATACATTGCATATTGTGTGTGTGTGTATAATATACACACATATGTTGTTTCTTTCAACTTCTCACACTAGTGAGACAATACAATGTTTACACATGTGTCTGATTTAGTTCACTTATGAGTATGGTCTCAAGTTGCATCCATGTCAGGTACATACTATTTTAAGGCATTTTTTTTTCTTTTTTTTAGGATTGAACCCACTCCCTCGCACATAGTAGGCAAGTTCTCTACTACTGAGCTATATCCTCTGCCCTTTTAACTTACTAAGGTGCCCAGGCTGGCCTGGAATTTGCAGTCCTCCTGCCTCACCTCCCACAGAGCAGGCATTACAGGTGTGTGCCCCTGCATCTGTTTTAAGGCAGTATTTTAAGAACCAAGTAAGCAAACTAGTTTGGTGGGCCAGCTTTGTGTTTTGTAAAGAAAGCTTTATTTGGTGGCCAGGTGTGTCATTGCCGCCCTGTAACCCTAGCACTTAGGAGGCTGAGGCAAGAGGATCATCATGAGTTTAAAGCTACATAGTGAGTTTAAAGCCTGCCTGGACTACGTAGTGAGACCCTGTCTCAATACTCCCCAAATAAATAAACAAAATGTTGGCATTTTGTTTCTCATGTACTTTCTAGACCTGAATTTTGACTTTTTTGGGGGGGTACCAGGAATTGAACTCAAGACCTTGTGCTTCCTGGGTAGGTGCTGGGCCGCTGAGCTATATTTATGATTTAAAATGGATTGCAGGGGAAATTGTTTTCCTTTCCCTCGTTCCCTCCCCTTCTGTCACCAGCTCAGTGCAGCCACCAGGGACCCCTCGCTCTCTGTAGACCCCCCAACCCCCCAGCTTACACATGTGGTGCAGACTGCTCCAGTGCATTGATTGGCCAGAAGTCTCCGCACAGAGAGCGCAGTGCGAATTCCAGGTTTCAAGTGGGGAAACCGAGGCCAGAGGTGGGGAGCAGCTAACCCGAGGCATGCAGTGAGCGAGCAGGAAGCTCACCTGGAGCTCCGGTGTCCAGACTCCCAGCGCAGTGCTATCCCCTCCCTAAGGCTTGCCCCCAGTCCCCGCCCCAGCGCCCTTCTGGTCGCCTGCACACTGGGTCCAAGCATGGGGCTCACCAGCCCAGCTCTCCTCCAGCTGGTGCCCGGCCCACCCTAGCTGCTGCCCCCTGCATGGACAGATCCCCCTCACTTCCTGTCCTGGACGGAGGCCAGTGGCTGGGCTGGGTGCCGCAGCTGGGCGGGTCCCATCACCCTGGAGAAGTAGGGGTCAGGACCCTTTGACTGGGAGGCAGAGTCCTTCTACAGGAAGCATGTGAGAAGCAGGTGGGTTTGATGTGGTTTAGGGTTTGTTTTCTTGAGAAGAGTCTCACTCCATTGTTTAAGCTGCCCTCAAACTCCCGTGGTCCATCAGTTCTCCTGCCTCAGCCTCCTGCCTACAGGCAAGCTCACAGGGCCAGGTGAGGAGGTGCTTTGTGTGCGGCAGGGATTGGGAATCACTGTCCTCCGTTCCTCGGGCCCTCCTGATGGCAGGAAATGTTTTCCTGAAGGAAAGAGCTTGGGATGGGGAGAGGGCGCAGGGATGACACACGCCTGTAACCCTAGCACTCGGGAGGCTGAGGCAGGAGGATTGCCACTAGTTCAGGGTCAGCCTGGGCTACGTAGTGAGATCCTCTCTCAAACAAAGCAAAGCAAAGAGGGGGAGAAATATACCACCAAGATAAACATAAATGCCGGCATTCTAAATAGCCGAGGTAAACAGAAACAGGAGGGTCCCCCTGCCTTCCCCGCCCATAGAAACATGATATATTGCTCTGCCTGAAGAAGAGATTTTTCTGGATCCATGTTTCTCTGGCAGTCTGCTAAAACTGTGGGTCCCCTCTCCAGGCCCCTCCCCTCCCCAGGAAACAGCGCTTCCAGTAGAGTGTGGGAGATTTCCGGGTTCCGGGAAGCTGTGCTGGAGGGCGGCCTAAGGGACGTTCTCAGGTCTAGGTGGCATTCGTGGTCAGAAGGGGGAACTGGGTCCACATCTGGGATCCTGTTTCCAGGTACGGTTGGTTGGGAAAGCAGTCTGACATGGTGGGGGAGACTGAGCCAAGCGGAACCAACGGGAAGGAAGGAAGGAAGGTGGGTCAAGCCCCGGGGGAGAAAGTAGCCAAGAGAAGAGGACAGGGCTGGGGTGCTGGTGCTTTGGGGCCCTGATGGCGGGGAGCTCTGTATCCTGGGCTTGGAAGACACCTGTGGGCTGTGGTGGGGCTGGCAGACGGTCCGGGTGGTGGATGTTGGAGGGGGAAATTATTGAGCCTTTGGGCCTGGGGCCTCCTTTCTGCCTTGACCCTTGCTGTAGTAAAAGGCAAAGCATCTCTGTCAGCTCAGTTATTGGCTTCTGCGTCCATTCACATCCAGCCAGGACACCAGGGCTAGCCTCGGAGTCCTCGGAGGAAAAAGGAGGGAGTGGGAGCTGCTTTGCACCCCTGAACCCACGACCCACAGGCCCTGAAGAGCCACTGGAGACACGGCTGCCACTTCTGGGCCACTGGACCACAGAAGGGACTGGCCCTCCGGCTGCTACCTCTGAACTCCTGCCCTGGCCCCCGATGCTGTGGTAGCTTTAGAAGTCACCCCGGAAGCAGAGAACCCTGCTTCCCCCCTCACCCATCTGCCCCAGGGTCCCATTGCAGAACCTCACTGGACCGTGGGAAATGTAGTTTGGTGGCTTCTAGCCCCTCGGGGCACGGCAGGCAGCACACACCACCACAGGCCGCAGAGACCAGCAGAGCAGGTCTCTCTCCCTCCCTGCCTCCCAGACTCACCAGAAAGAATCTTTTTTTTCCAGGTGTGTTTTGTGTCCTGCACCTAGAACACAGCCTCGCTGAAGACACCGTGCTTTCTCCTGTTTCTTGAGTAAGTGCCCTGGTCGGTGGCCATTAATAATGTCCCCCGATTACTGATCCTCTCTCCAAAAGAGAGGGTGAGTGTTCTCTACCTTTAACACGCCAAAGACCCAAGGTCCAGGGAGCTGCCACCCTGTGGCTGCCATGCCAGCCTCAGGAGCCTGGGCAAGGCCCTGGCTGACTTGGCACTGTGTTCCCTGCCGTAACTCCACAGCCGGTGCTGTGGCTCTGAGCCATGACGTGGATGTCGCTTTTGTGTTTCCATGAGCTGAGACACAAAAGGCCAACTTGACTGTGACCTCCAGAGGGCTGGCGACTTCCTCTGCCCCAGACGCAGACATGGCATCCTGGTGGCTCTGCTGATGGGACTGCGGTGTCTGAGGCCAGGGCAGGGAGACCCGGTATGGCACCGGGGAGACCCTGCCTCCTCTGTGTTCTGTCCCTTAGGAGGGACGTGGAGGGAGCAGAAGTGCTGGGCTTCTCAGTCGGGGGCAGGGGAATCCCAGAGGTAGTGGGGAGAATCCTCATTCCCTTGAGGGCGCATGGTGGGGACTGATGGGTGACAGGGGGTGCTAGCCCTGATCACAGGCAGAGCTGTGCCCACCAGCTTCCTCCCCCGCCATCAAGCTGTCCTCTGCATCCGTGTGTGGTCCACACTGAAGGAGCGGGTGCTTCCCAGGGTTCTCGGGGAGAAGAAATAAGTTACAAGGCATCAAGACCTTGCGACAGAGCCCGGCAGGCGGCAGACCCTGTAGCTTAAAAGCCTCTGCTGTGATGGCAGGGCCCTGCAGAGTGGGGAGCGGACGTTTGCACACAGCAAACACGCTCAGGACAGACGAGGTAGGGCTGAGCTAGGACAGGGGCCCTCGGCCGTCCCAGATGGGAGGGAAGCTGCTGCCTCACTCAGCCAAAGGGGCTTGGAGGTGAGATGAAGGACGGGAGGGTTCAGATGGAGGGTGTCCTCCAAACTCCCAAGCACGCCCAGGCGGGCTTACAAAGGAGGATGGGACCTGGGGCCCACAGCTGAGTCCCCACTCAGAGAGGGCCTGGGGGCACACAGCTCGCTGCGGGGTGGCCTGGAAGGTAGGCTTCCCTCACGGCTGCCCCTTGTCCCTCTGCTTCCTGGTTCCCACACCGAAAGCAGCTTCTCTCCTCGCAGGTGCTTCTGTCCAGCTGTTTCTGTTTAAACCTTTAGACTGAAATTCCTCAACTATGAGCCAAAAAGAAGCCTTTCCAGTTGGGCATCGTGGCACCCCTGAACCCACTGCATTGCACACACCTATAATGCCAGCAGCGGAGAGGCCGAGGCAGGAGGATTGTCATTACTACATAGTGAGACCTTGTCTCAAAAAACCAAACCAAACCAAACCAAAACAACACCAACAACAAAAGCAAACAAACAAAACTGAGAGGAAACATTTCCTCAAAGTTGCAGGTGTCAAGTATTTTATCCCAGCAGCCAGGACAGTGACTAGGACGGCCTTGAGATGGGAAGGTTATCCTGGACTTTGCAGCTAGGCCAGTGTGGGGCTATGCCAATGATGTCAGCATGCTGGGAGGCTGAGGCGAAGGATCGTAAGTTCGAGCCTAGCATGACTCCTCAAGACCTTGTCCTAAAAATAATAAAATAAAACAAAATAAAAAAGGGCTGGGGATGCAGCTCAACATGAGGCCCCGGTTTGATCCCCAGTACTGAGAAACAAAGCTTTTACCCTGTGGTGGTGGTCAGAGCCCAACAGGAAGGCAGAGGACACAGCGGCAGCCATGGGAGGAACAATCAGAGAGGTGCATGGCCCGGCCCAGACCTCCAGACGAGCCCCATGTGGGGTCCTCACTCCCCAAACCGGAAGTCCTGGCGCAGTGGGAGTCAGCACCGAGGAGGGCTCAGGTGTGGATGGGCCCTGGGGAACAGGGAAGAGTCCCCAAACAGGAACCACAGCTCCTGCTGCCTGGAGTCAGAGGCCCCGGGGATTCTGCTGTTTCTCAGGCCACTGTCTCTCCGGGATGTATGGCACCACGCCCTTTCACCTCACACCAGTACGGAGGGTAACATCAGCATCTATCTGTCCTTCTCCTGCCCAGGGCAGCAAGGTGACCCCAGTTCCTCAGAGACTCAGAATCATGGCTCATGCAAAGCCTTGGTGGGAGGTGTTTGCAATGTTGGGGCCCCAAACCAGCCCCTATAGGAGCAGCTGCTGTACCCCACTATAATTCATTCAGTCACCCACCTGCTTAGCACCCAGCAAGCGCCAGCTACAGGGCCCTGGCTTTCAAGAAGCACAGACTCGCTGGATGTGGTGGTTCACATGCCCAGCGCTCAGGAGGCTGAGGCAGGAGGATTGCTAAGAGTTTGAGGCCAGTCTGGACTACATAGGGAGACTCCATCTCAAAAAACTAAACTAAAGTACACTCAGACTTGCAGGATGAGGTGGGGAGTGCTTAAAATCACAGCACCCCAGAGGCTGGACTCCAGGGAGAAAATGCAGGTGTGTGGACATGAGCATGACCCTGAGCAGGCCCAGGAATGGAGCCTTCAGTAAGCAAGTCCCGTTTGTTCATGTGGAGAGGAAGTGCTGGGCTGGGGAATCCAGGAAGCTTACTGGAAGTGGTGTGTGAATGGGGCCTAAGTACAGGCCGGCTTTCTCTCCAAGGGATGATACAATAGCCCTCCAGGCGGGACAGAGGGCCTGGGTGTCAGGCCGAGGAGGGGCAGCCAGGCAGGGGTCGCTCTTTCCTCCCCCAGGCGTCTCCCTGTGTTGGTCCTCTGGGGACCTCACTCTGTGGAAGACCACCCGAGGACAGAGCAGCTGGCTGCCCTGGCCTGGAGCACACCTAGGCGGGGAGCAGGGCCACCTTCTCCTCTTTGCCTCACCTGCTTGGAAAGGCCTGGCAGAGTGCACCTATGGGGAGTCCGCTCTGTGCTGGGAACCCCAGAGCAGCCCCTCCCAGGGCTGGGTGGGTGAGGTGGACCAGGTGTGGCGGGAGCATCTGGGAGCTAGGAGTCGGGCAGGGAGGTGGGAGCAACCCGGCCCTTGCAGGGCTAGAGATCCCACATGCACGGCTATCTCCACACCAGCCCCCGTGTCTGGTTCCAGCCTTGGGTCCCAGCCCCACCTGCCCCTTCCCGCTGCAAACCACTACCTAATCCCATCCCTCAGAGGCCCTGCAGTTCCCTCAAAGCAAAATGGGAGCCTTGAGAAACTTGGGAGGCAAATACTCTTTGATAGCTTGACCGCCGTGGTGGTGTCCTGGATGCAGCTTTACAGCCACCCCGTCAGACTGCATACATAAAGTACGCATAGTTTTTAAAATATCAAGAAGAAAAGAAAAAGGAGAGATGGGTGGCTGCCAGGGCTGGGGCAGGGGAGGCACGGAAGGGACCCTGAGGGTGCAGGATTTCTTCGGGGCTGTGAAAATGTTCTAAGGTGGATCGTGGCAGTGCTTGTGAGTGTCTTAAAGGCCACTGAATTGCACAGTTTAAACGGGTGGATTGTAGGCTGTGTGGTTTATATCTCAATAAGCTGTTTCTAAAAAAACCCCATCTGTCTGGTCCCAGAAAAGCTGCCATAGGAGGAGGGGCTGAGGGCGTGGCCCAGAGGGAGACCCCTTGCCCAGAATACCTGAGGGTCTGAATCCATGCACAAAAGAACTGCATCAGAAATAGTCTGCAGACAGCACAGGTCAGTGACCCCAGCACTCCGGGAGGCCGAAGCAGGAGGACTGCAAATTCAAGCCCGGCCAGACAATGTAGCAACTACACGAGACTCCATATAAAAAATAAACGGGCTGCAGAGGCAGCTCAGTGTGAAGGTCCTGGGGTCCCTCCCCGGGGAGCTGTGCAGAGCAGGCTGTGTCCCCACAGGCCTGAGGGAGCGGCTGGGCACAGCGGGCGGCAGACACAGGCAGAGGAGGGTGGAGGGTGCCCGGCACAGAGGCTCTTTGAGGACTTTGGCAGGAGAGGAAATGGGCAGAGGGAAGCAGTGCCGCGATGGGGATGTTTGTGTTTAGAAGGCCACAGACAGACGTGTGTTTTTAGTCTGAGGAAAAAAGAGATTGAAAAAGCAAGAAAGAAAGAAAAAAAGGGAATGAAGCGAAAATGTGACCAATAAGGAAACTTCTGTGTATATTTGTTAGTTTTTTGAGACGGTCTCGCCATGCAGTGCAGGCTGGCCTTGAACTCACAGCCACTCTCCTGCCTCAGCCTCCCGAGTGCTGGGATTACAGGCTGTGCCACCACACCTGGCCTTAAGGCCTCACATCCTAACGGTCTGGGGCGGCAGCTCAGTCGCAGAGTGCTTGTCTGGCACGCGTGAAGGCAGGCAGCGGCAGGTGGCGGGGTGTCGGGGTGCTGAGGGTGCAGATGGGACTCCCCGGAGGATGCCGGGAGCCGATGGCTGCCTCTTTCCACTGCACACATGGAGCACCAGGTCCAGTCTCCCCACGCCGGGTCCCCCTCCTAACACTGCCAGTGCAGTCCCATGTGGCTCCCAGGCCATCCCGAGTGGCCTGCCCGCCTCCTGGGTCAAGGCCAGAGAAGCTGTGAGCAGATGGTGCTGGGGGCAGGGAAGGCTCATGTCCATGTTTCCCGCTGTCCTTAAAGACCCGGGAGCCCCAGGGAACCTCGGAACACACCCTGTTCCGGACTCTCCTCCTGCTCTGCCCCATGCTGCTCGCTCACAGGGACGGAGAGTGACACCAGGCCTCTGTTACCTCTGACCTGCATGCCTCAGCCTGGATCCCTGGACAGTGTTCTGACCTGCAGCTGCCCAGTCCCAGGCCTTGCATTCCTAGCATTTCGTGCTCTGTCCCTGCCTGGCCTGGGGACCACGCTGTCCCCTGGTTCTCTATCTCCCTCTCCCTTCATGGCCACATCTCTGCCCCACAACCAGCTGTAGGCCCAGATGTGCTCCAGCAGCATTCCTGCAGGCCCCACCTGCCCCCGAGGGATGCCCCTGCCAGCCCCTCTGATGCCAGCTCCTCAGTGACCTGGGCCAGATCTCTTAGTCTTTAACAGATTCTCCTGCCTCAGCTTCCCTTCCGGGGTAAGCTGTGGGAAGCTTCCTCTGTCTCCCTCAGCCTCTTGGGCGGTCAGAGATCCTCCCCGCTGCTCCTGCCCAGCCCAGGTTGTAGATATGGGGGGTCGCAGACCACAATGGAGATGGGGTTGTTATGCTGTGATCCCTGCCACAGCCTGGCGTCCCCGGGCCTCCTGCTGCCCACTCACCCACACGTTCAATTGGGTTTTTGTGATCCTGGGGATTAACCTTTTCCCCCTGGCTCACTCCAGGGCTTATCTTTGGAGTCTCCTGGCCATTTGGGTCCCCAGTGGGACTCACAACTGCCTGCTTTCAAGGCAGGCGCTTATGCTGCTGAGCTAAATCCCCAGCCCCCCCAGTGGGACTTGTAACTACCCCCCCCATGTCTGTCATCTAAGCCCCCAGAGGCTTCCCCGAGGCACAGGGCAGTGGGGGCAGAGATAGGTCGAGACCAGAGGGCGCAGACTAGCTCCTCTGCCGGTCTCTCCAGCTCTCCAGAGCCCTGTCCTGTATCCCTGGTGGCCCTGCCCTGCCACTCCTGACGTCCTACAGCCTGGCTGACCATCCCTGGCTGCCACCTGGGCCGCCATGTCGGGAACAACTGTTTGTCTAAACTTTTGATCCTGAGATGACACAGACCACGTACTAGTGGGGGAACCTGGGCCTGTGTGTCCCTGTGACCCCAGTGAGGGTGGCCAGAGTGATAAAGCCAAAGAGGCCTCCCAGTGAGGGAGTAGCTGAGTGTGTGAATGTGGGGGCCCCAGGAACCCCACGGACAAGGCCCTCTTTGTGTCTGCCACACCCGAGGTCCTGGCCACCAGCAGCCCACATGATTATTTTTGTAGCTTTTTTTCAAGCCTTTCCTTTGAGACAAGGTCTAGCTATGTAGTCCAGGCTGGCCTTGAACTTGCAGCAATCATCCTGCCTCAGCCTCCCAGGATCACGGGCCTGTGCCACCCCGGCCAGCTGGTGCTCCAGGCCTTGCTGAGTTCGCTGTCCTGAGCCCTGGCCCACTGCCCCCTGCCAGAAGACAAGGCCTAAATCTCAGCTCGGGGCTGGGGACATAGCTCAGAGGCGCAGTGCCTGCCTGAGTCAGAGTCGCAGCACCAAAATCCATCAACCAGTCTCAACTCGGAGGATTTCTGTGCCTGTTTTTCTCAGACTTGCAGGGCTCAGAGCCACGGGTCCGCGTGGTCTAAGGCGCCCTCTGCCGGCCATTGGCGAAATGCCTCACTCCAGGGTGGCGGGTCCTCAGGGCCACCACTGCATAATGCATTTCTCTCTGTTTGCCGGAGAACAGGTTCGGAAGACAGCTCCACCATCAGGAAACGCTAAGCAATGACGCACGGGGTGTGTGCGTGTGGGTGAATCTAAATCCTCATTGTACAGCTAGGCATGGTGGAAACTGTTGTAATTCCAGTACTTGGGAGGCTGAGGCAGGAGGGTCGCCTCCCATTCAAAGCCAGTCTGGGCTACGTAACAGGACCCTGTCTCATAAAACCAAAGTAAATAAAAGCTCATTGCATACAGACTGGGGTGGTCCATGGCAGTCTTCGCTGTTCTGCAAAGACCTCTCCCTGGCCATTGCCCGAGGCAGACCTTTGCCTCGCCTCCCAGGAAACTGAGCGGGCACTCAGAGTGGCCCAGGGAGACAGGTGATGCCGCAGCTGGACCGCAGGAAGGGTGGTGCTGCCCCTGGGGCCGGCTCAAGGACAGACCCTCTTCTTCCAGGGGCAGAGCAAGGAGCTGGCATCTGGCACCACCCCTGGGTTCCCAGCCAGAAGGGGAAAAAGAAAAGTGGGCGAGGCAGGGACTGGAACTGTGGCCCAGCCCGGGTCACAACACGTTCGTTCCTCCTGGTGTCTGGGTGCTGAGCTGAGCACCACTGAGGGTGGCGGCGGGGGCCCTGCAGCCTGCGACAGACGGGATGTCAGAGACAGGACAGGCTTGATGGCAGGGAAGGAAGGCTGGGCACGAGAGCTGGCACATCAGGGGACAATTCCGTATTCAGCCCCACCCTCCATCTGGCTTCCAGAAAGTTCTGCTGCCAGGGAGAAGCCCAGGTGGAGGGAGTGGTCCTGGGGCTGGGGCTGTCACCCCTGCCTGGGCCCTGCAGCTCCGGGAAGGGGCTGTCTGGAAGGTGAAGGGACCTGGTGGCTGGGACAGCAGGATGGGGACCTGAGGGACCCCATGTGGGGGGCACTGCAGAAGGGCCAGGCCCTTCCTGTCTAGTAGCTTGGCCTCCTCCCTTTTCCCAACTGTTAGGGTCTCCTGCACAGGTGTGAGGACCCCTTTCCTCAGCCCCAAGCCAGCGGCACGGGGGTCACTGTACAAGTGTGCTCAGGGGAAGTGCCTGTTCCCACAATGTCCTTGCCACAGGGGTCGGGATGCTGCCCCGCACACGTGCTTGGGCACACACAAGCCTGCTGGGGCCTCCCCTAACACAGGGGTAGGCAAGTCTGCAGCCACCTGGCTCCTTGGTGGGAATGTTGGGTGAAAACCTGGATTTCACACCTGGGAAGCAACAGGACGCTGGGGAGGCAGGAAGCCACAGGAGCAGGGGTCCTGGGATACCTTGCACCCCTGACCCTGTATCCCAAGAGCCAACCCTCAGCATCCAGTGTCTCAATCCCGTCCAGAGCCATCCTCCCCTGGGTGACACACACGGGGCCCGGTGAGTAGAGGACGTTTAATATTTCTGTGCTGGTCAAATGGACACAGGTAGGGGTACATGGGGGGCCCTGCCTCTGAGGGGCAGCTTGTGAAGGGGCATACGTGGGGTTCTCAGGAGATATCCAAGGGTCTTCTCAGCAATGGGGCCTGGCAGGGTGCTCTGAGCACTGGCACCCCATCCTTGGCCTCAGGTTGGGGTCCCCCATAGGGGGTCTTCAGAGTCTCACTTTTCCAGCTCTGCTGCTGGAATCCGGGAGTCCACACTCCCAGCGCGCCAGGGACTTGGTCCTAGAGAGGGGTCAGGGAGTCCCTGGGGCAGCCCGGGCCTGGGGACCGTGGCTCCCATGTACCCACCTCCTTGTCCCCAGGCAGGGCCAGTCCCAGGGTCTTCGGGCAGAAAAGGGGTAGAGGGAGGGGGTCTTGCCACCAACAGACACTGTAAACTTTGGTTTAAAACAATAACTTAAGTGGAGGAGGGGCTTCCAGCCTGGGGCCTGGGCAGCTGGGAGTTCAGGAGGCGACGAAGGAAAAAGCCAACAAAAAGTTTTGGTTTTTGCTTCCGGCATAAGAAAGGTCTTTGGTCATCCGTTTAACTGGGGACTCGGGAAGGGGAGGGCGGGAGGACTTCAGTGGCCAGGGGTTGTGAGGAGGCCGGGTTCCGGCCTCCCTCGCCCTGCCAGGTGGTACCTGCAGGTTGGTGAGTGGCGGGCGCCAGCCTCGCCCCGTGCTCCCTGCTGAGGGGACACAGGAGGCTCCACTCCATGCAGCCCCCAAGGGCTGTGCCCCACTCGTGACAGCCAGCCAGCCTGGCTCCATCCCTGCTGCTGGCCGGCCCAGGGCAGGACAGGGCAGGGCGGGGAGCACAGCCGGAGAGGGCCTGCTTCACAGCAGACAGGGCGGGTCGGGATGTGCGCATCAGGGGTGCGGTCGGGCACAGGCCCTGGGAAGGGGCGCCCCGCCTGCGGGTCTCTGCCTGAAGACAAGGGCCCTGTCCAGGGGAGAGCATTGAGGGGCCTGCTGCCGGTGGTCGAGGAGATGGCGTTCGGATGAAGGGGGTCTGGGAGGTGGGAGGGGTCTGGGCCCCCCATGTCCTCTGCTGGTCCCAGACCAGGGGTTCCATGTCCCCGAGGGGACGGGGACTATGCCTGCCCCCAAGCGTGTGTCAGTCCGTAGCAGGGGGGCTGCTGACCCAGGCCACCCTGCTCGAGTCCAGGAAGTGCCTTGAGGTTTGGGGGCTTGGAGTGGGGTTGGGGAGGCCTGGTTCTGGGCCAGGGGCTCTCACCCCGCCCTCTCCCAGGGCCCTTAGGACAGCTCCTCCCCAGGCAGCTCATCCTCCAGCTCCCTGTCTTCCGGAGGCCCCACAGTGCTGGGGTTGGGGGCACCCAGGGGGGCTCCCGGCCGCCGGTCTTCTTCGGCCTCTGCGGGCTCCTCCTTCACCTGCACCTGGTGACTGCAGCAGAAAGGATGATGTGGGTATCAAGGGGGCTCCTGGGGCCCCTGACCCAGATGCTAACGGAAGGGTGCCCACAGGGTCCGCCCCAGGACCCCACTATCCTTGAGCTCTGACCTGCCCCAAGGCCTTCTGCAGAGAACAGGATTTGGGGACAGAGTGGAGAGGAAAGGGAAGAGAGGACTGGGATGGGGAGAAGAGGGGCGAGAGAGGAGAGGAGGAGAAAACACAAAGGTAGAAACCAGGTATGGAGGTACACATGCCTCTAATCCCAGCACTCTGGGAGGCTGAGGCGGGAGGATGGCAAGTGAGAGCCCAGCCTGGGCAACTTAGCAAGACCCTGTCAAAATAATGCAAAAAGGGGTGTAGCTCAGAGCAAAGGCCCAGGGTTCAACCCCCAAAGTTACACAGAAGAGGCACAGGAAGGCGAGGGTGGGGTGGGGTGGGATCTGCAGTGGCTGGGGGTACCTGTGCTCACCTGTACTGGGGCGGGGATAGCCGCGGGGGGCTGCTGCTGCCGTTACTGGGCAGTGGCTCCCCGGAGGCACCCATGTCCTCGTGGCTGAGGGGCAGGAGGCTGCTGGCCGAGCCGGGGTTCAGCGTGCCGGGGCTGTTGAGGAGGGGGAAGCTGCTCTCGGCCAGAGCGGCCTGGAGCACAGGGCGTGGAGTGGGTCAGTGAGAGCCAGGTCTGTCTGTGCCCCCTAGCGCCCCCTGTAACCTGGCCAGGTCCTCCTGGCAGCTTCAGGCCTGGACTCAGCCTTAGGAACAGGAAGCCCTGCAGCCAGGACTCTCCCTAGCTCCCCAACTCCCGGCTTCCCTAGGAACCCAGGCCTTGACCCTGCCCCAGGGGGGCCCAGGGGATGCTGTGGGTGATGCTGGCCCCCTTGTGCTTTGCCCACTCTCTGAGCTGGCTGTGAAATCTAGGCAGAGGCCAGCCGAGGTGGCAGGCCTGGGTGGGGTAGGATGGGTTTGGGTCGCCGGTCACCTGGTAGCTGGCATTAAGTGCTCCGTAACTGAGGCCCGAGATCATGTTCTTCACCAGGGTGGGGCTCCTGGGGACAGAAGCAGGTGCGGGTCACCTACCCACTTCTTCCTGACCCCAGGCAGGGGCACGTGTAAAACCAGGGCCTGTTCCCTTTGCTATCCTAGGTGACCAGGCAGGACAGGACAGCAGCAGGCCCATATGATCCCTGCAGGACCCGCTTCACGTCCATCTGCATATCGGGCCACCTCGGCCTCTCCTTCTCTAGTCTGGATCTTCTGTCGTTTGGCGAAGCCCAAGCTCTACCTGGACACTCGACATCTGCCCACCGTGGACTGGGGGACACATAGTCAGCCACGTGCTCAGCCACGTGCTCGGCTGGCCCATCCCCAGGTGGCCCAGACAAAAGGCTTTTCTGTATGCAAAGGTGTTGTCTGTCCGCCTCCCTGGTGGTGCCCTTGGCAGAGAGAGGACAAGGACCAGGCCTGGGGGGTCACATGGCTGGTGAGAAATGGAGGTGCAACTTGAGCTTGGTTGACATGAGAGGTGACATCGCCTGGCACGAGCCTGGCACTCGGAGCCTGTCCTCCACTCCCCGGAGGTGCCCTGCCCCTTGCCTTCTCTGGCCTGCTCCCCTAGAAATGAAGACAGGGGACCCAGGGGCCTGCTTCTCCCGTCAGGCACCAGGCGGGCACAGGTCCCAGGGACGGCAGCCCTGCCCTCACGGCCACAGGGCCACGTACCCTGTCATCTTTGGCGGCCTGCGCTTCTGATACTCCCGCTCGTCCACTGTCCACACAGCGCCCTTGACGTTCTCCACGCGTACGAAGCACTTGTGCAGGCTGAGATTGTGGCGCACGGCATTCTGGGGGTGCGAGCAAAGAACTCAAGGGAGAGGCATGCTGGTACCCTCATCCTGCCCCGTGTCCCCAGGCAAGGGTCGGTGGAGAGCCAGGGTCCCTTCCCGCTGGTCTCCCCATGTGATGCTGGCCCTGGGTAGGGATCAGATGCTTCCTGCTGGCTCCGGTCAAAGGTACAGGGAGCTGCTGCCCTGGACTCCTGAGCAGCAGCAGCGCGGATCTGAGCCCTGGCACCTTATCCTGGGCACATGTGGAGTGGCCCCTAGCTGGCCTGAGTGCTGGGGACAAACCAAGTACCCTCACTGCTACCTTCCCTGGCCCAAGAGCCTAGGCCCAGAACACATGGCTTCCGCATGGGGGTACAGGTATCCAGTAGGGGTCTAATATACTTGCGGAGATGTGACAGGGCAGCCCCTGTAAGGCAGGACGAGGGAGGCCAAGTCTCCTGTCACTCTCCCCTCCGCCTGACAGGGTAACTGAGGAGCTGTCACCTGGCTTTAATGTACCCACGGCCCTTCTCCTGTCCCTCTGTCCTGCCCGAAACTCTGCAATACCCTGTGCTCAGTTTTTCCATCCCCCACCACCAGTCACCACCAGTCGCCTGGTGTCACATCCCTGTCCACTGCCTGCTGTGTCCCTGTCCCCATTACCTGTCCTCCCTCGGCCTCCCCGGTCCTTGTCTCTTTACAAGTCTAAACGGGGAAGAAAGCAGGCAGGGCGGGCAGCCTGCACCCCTGGAGACCCCTCTCCCCCTCTGCCTTCCAACTCCTGCCACTTGCAACCGGCCCGATTTCATTACCAATTTTAATTTGCCTCTAATTAAATCCTGTGTATTTTTCCGACTCGCCTGCTAATCCACGAGGGAGGCGGCGGCTGGAGTGGAATCTCTCGGAGCGATAATTACAAAGGGCCTAATCACGCCGGGGCTCCTGCCTCAGAATAAATTTGCCCGCATTACGGGGCTCCGATCCTGCGCTTTGCAAATGAGAATGACCCCAATTTCCGAGGATGGCCTCACCGGGGTTTCTCTCCCTCATTTCGAAGCCTGATTCGTGATGAGAGACTAATTCGTTACACTGAAACATTACCGGCAATTTGAGGGGTCTGGCGGGGGCTGCGTAAACAAAGGGTGGCCGGGGAGGGGACGGATGCGGGAAGGCCAGCGAGGACTGGCAGCTTGGCAGATGGCCACTCTGTCCCCCCTGGGCAGCAGCTGGCCTGGCCCAGTGACCCTTGGCCTGAAGGAGACAGCACTTCAGGGTGGGGCCCAGAAAGGGGAGGATGCAGCCAACATGATTTAAGGGAGAAGGCAGAAGATACATGGGTAGGGGCCGGCCACCAGCACCGGTGGCTTCTCGTCATGAGAAGGCAGAAGCTGGACACTGCAGTGGGGTAGTGTGAGGGACAGAGGTGGGAAGGAGGGCAGGAACTCAGGCCCCAAGGGAACACTAGCTCCCAGAAACTGGGCTCCCCAATGCTACCCCTGGGGCCAAGGGAAAACATTAAAGTGAAGAGAGGGCAGTAACTGCATGGCCCCTATATCTGCATTCGACTCCCTATTTCTGACACCTGGTATCTGGCCTGGGCTGGAGGCTGCGGACTTTCGCAGGTGGCCTGGAGAAGGCCACGCTGGCTCAGAACGAGAGCAGGGTTGTGGTTGGCAGGAAGTGACGTCACTCGCAGCCAATCACAGCAGGCCCCTCGGCCTCACAGCCTGTCTCCAAGGGCTGGCAGTGAGGCTCAGTGACATGGAGCTCACGGGGAGTCCCTCCCAGGCACCCAATGCACACTCAGGGCAGAGAAGGCCAGTCCCGGAAGTTCCTGGCAGTCCAGGGAGGCAGGCCTCGGGACACTTGTTGAAACCAGGTGGTACTGGGGGAGGGGCCCGTCTGATTGCAGTTCCTGCGCTGGCCAGCAGGGGGACCCATGACCCAGGGATCCACCTCCCCACAGGACGAGCCTCCTTCCTCTTCCCCTGTGGCCTGGCACGGTTCAGATGCCACCTTCCCACCCCATGAGTGTGGCTCGTGCGCGCACACGCGCGCGCGCACACACACACACACACACACACACACACTTAACTGTGCTATGGAAAAATAAACAGCTCAGTGCCCTGGCCCACATCTTCATGGCCTATTTTTCTAGGGTCCCCCCTTCCCCTCCTTTTGTCCCCCAGGAAAACCCTGTGAAATGACTAATTGGATGAGACAATTATCTTTCCACCCCTGGGGAGACTGTGAGTGCCTCGTACCCCTGTGCAGGCCACCGCTACAGGGCACTCATGTCCGAGTCTACCGTCTCCTCTCCTGGGCCGTTAGCCCAGGCCCCCCTTCCACATGTGGACCTGGCCGACTCCTGCCTCGAGGAGCCCAGGGAAGCGCACCCTGGAAAAGACAGTTTCTTCCCCTGCAGGAGGTGGCACCAGGCTGGAGGGCAGGGATGATTAAAGGCATTGACACCCTAGCACCTGGGGCTGACCAGTGGAGACTGACTGAGGGTCAGGCAGCCCTGGTCTCCAAGGGACACATGTGGCCGGGGCTCACCTTCCAGGTGGCAGTGTTCCTACGGAAGTAGGCGAACATCCTGGTGAACCAGTTGTAGATCTCATTCAGGGTCAGCTGCCGGTCGGGGGTTTCCAGGATGGCCTGGGGCGAGCATGGGGCCAAGGGACCCTCAGGCTGAGCCCCCAAGGGTCCCCCAGCAGCACCAGGGAGGGGGTGAGGGTGGTGTGCAGGGAGGGCAGGGTGCTCCGTGGCGGTCAAATGTGCACACGCAGGGAGGGGGTGTGAGTGAGCAGAAGAGTGTGAGCCCGGCACATCCACGTGGGTGGCAGGCCACAGCTGGGGAGGAGAGGGATGTCACCCCCAGGAAGGGGGTACCAAGTGGCCTGTGTCCCCAGCTTACCTGGCGGATGAGGGAGGCATAGGTGAAAGGGGGCCGGACGTCCGCGTTCTTGTAGAACTCGTGGTTCTGGGCCAGCTCTGTGGGGGCAAGCGGAGGGTGAGATGGCCTGCAGCATGACCTGGGACCAGGCCTCTGTGGTAGCCCCCATCCCGCCTCACCTGAGGAGATGGGGGAACAGAATTTGTCACTGCTTCTCCGCCGGGCAGGACCCCCACCATGCAGTGAAGCAGAGCCCAGGCCCGGGGGCCGCAGGGGGGTGACAGGGGCGGCAGCCGAGGTTGGGGGGTGCACAAGGCCATCAGGAAACGGGTCTGCAGAGACGGTCACCTTGGGGAAAGAGCAGGGGCCGGGCCCGGGTTCTGCCGTGAGACATGGAGAGATCCCGAGGACCCGGTGGTGGGGATGGGGTGGCAGGGTTTTCGGGGGTCACTCACAGGCTGGCTGAAGGGCTTGGGCTCTGAGGGCCGCATGTGTAGGTGGGCCATCATGGCCTGCAGCCGCTCACTCTCCTTGGCCAGCTGCAGGGGGCAGGTGGGCAGGGGTGAGCAGGCAGGGCAGAGTCAGCCTCAGCAGGCCTCCCTCCCTCCTTCCCTCCCAGCATCCTCACAAGCCCCAGCCCCTCCCGCCCCCTCTCCTTGCTGTCCTAACTGGAGCTCACCACCGACCACCCCTGCACACAAGGTCTTCGTTCCCAGAGGGCCAGGGGCTGGGCCTACACTGGGGACACTGATGAGGGCTTGTCTAGAGGACGATGAGTCACGTGCCTGCTCCAGACCACCCTCTCAGGCAAGGCAGGCTTTGGGGAGCCCAAGGGAAACAGGCAAATATCTCCTGGCTGATGGATGGACCGCCCGAGTTGTCTCTAAAGCTCTGTGCCTCTAATCCCAGCTCTGCCGCTGGCCAGCCTAGTAGCCACCAGCAGGTTACCGGGCTGACTGTGCCTCTGCAGACGGGTGATGGCAGCACCTGGCTCACAGGGCGCCGAGGTGAAGGGAGGCACTCACAGGGCTCCCTCACCTCGTGTTTTGGTTTTTGCTTTTGCATGACTGGGGACTGAACCTAGGGCCGCTGGACCGAGCTCCAGCCCCAGAAGGTCAGTTTCTCTTTCGAGACAGGGTCTGGCTAAGTGGCTAAATTGCCCAGGCTGCTCTGTCACTTTCTTCGTTTCTCTTTTTTTTAAGCAGTGGCCATTTTTTTTTTTTTTTAACTTTTTAACCTTTTTTATTTTTATTGTTTTAGTACCGGGAATTGAACTCATGACCCTGTGCTCGCCAGGCAGGTGCTTATGCCGCTGAGCTAAATTCCCAGCCCCTAACATTTATTTATTTTTGTTTTTTGTTTTGGAGACAGGGTTTCACTCTCTCAAGTTTGAGAAAGAAAAAGTGGAGAGTTGGGGAGAAACTGGCTCTGCAGAGTGAGCTTGGCTGAGTAGAAAAGAAGAAAGCCAGATGAAAGAACACTGTGGAGATGGCCAGGTGCGGTGGTGCAGTCCTGTAATCCCAGCACTGGGGAGGCTGAGGCACGAGCATTGTTTCAAGTTTGAGACCAGCCTGGGACATAAAGTAAGCCCAAGGCCAGCCTGCACTACAGAGCAGGACCCTGTCTCAAAAAGACCAAAAAAATAAATATGTAACTCCTGATGCTCCTGCCTCAGCCTTTCAGAGGGCTAGGGTGACAGGCCTGTGCCACCAAGCCCAGAGTTTAATAGCACGAGGCTCTTCTGCAGCTACCAGCAGAGACTGTCCAACACTGCTGTACCCCTCAGAGCCCCAGTCTTCCTCACCTACCCTGGGGTCATCCAGACCCCCCCACAAGAGAACCCGTCTGTCCCCAGCCCCTGTCTCCTGGCTGCACCTGAATCTCCAGCTGCTGGACCACCTGCATCTGCACCCGGCACTGCGCCGTGCTGCGGTCGTCCAGGGCGTGCTCCGTGTTGAGGTGCCTGGGAAGCAGACAGGCCAGAGATGCACAGAAGAGAAAGGGGCACAAAGGGGGCAAAGGAAGACGCCTTCTCCTGGCAGCCTCCTTTGATGTCTTTGCTAGAACCCCTTCCACAGAGAGACTTAATTGCAAATGAACTAATTAAGTAAACCTCTGACGAAGCGTGAAAACAATTTGTTTGACCCCTGATGCTGCACGGGTCTGGGAGACAGCAGAGTTAATCAGTCAGTGACAGAGCCTGGCACGATGGTGGCAGCTGGCTGCCTGCTGCCAGCCGCCCGGCTGCCTCCTGTTCTGCTGGTCTACGGACTTAGGCTGTCACACTCCAGACTGTGGGGACTCTCGACACCCCACACCCCTCCCTCATGCTGAAAGGGGGCAGTGCGACGCAAGTCTGGGAACATGGGGCAGGAGGTGATCAGGGAGCTGAGGGGGCAGAGGTGAAACTCGGGTCTCCCTGGGGCAAGGACACGGGACTGCTGGTGACCACAGGCTACAGAAAGGGTGGGCTGGGGCTGGGAGTGGCACCTACTTGATGAACTGGCCCAGGTCTTCACACAGGGTCTCGCAGCCTGGCCACTTGCACTCTCCATGTCCGTACAGGGGGTGGGAGCCAGGGGTCTCCTCGTGGGAGGAGCTGGGAGGGAGGGATAGGTCAGAGACCTCCCAGGATCTCAGCAGCCCAGGCCCAGCCCCATGTATATGGCCTGAACATCAGAGTCCCCTAGTCTGCCACAGTGCCAGGTGCTGGTATCTAGGACTGCCCTGCAGGTCTCTCTGGTGCCTCCCAACCCAGCCACAGCTGCCCACCCACCAGCCGGCTGTACCTGTCTCTCCGAGATGTGTGCACAGTGGGCTGTCCGTTGGGCAGGGGGTGGTGGGAGAGTGTGGGGGAGACCTTCGGGGGGGCGGCAAACGAGGTAGCGGTGGCGGCTGTGCCAGTGAGGTCCAGCCCTTCCTGCTTGACGCTGTCCTCGGCAGGCTGCCCAGGGGCACCCTCGCCCTTCCACAGCTGGGGCAGGTCCGTGGGGCAGACGGCTGTGAGGGGAAGGCAGGGGAGGCTGGCTGGGCCAGGCTGAGGGTACGCAAGGCCCCTCTCTGGCCTCCGGGCTGGGGGCACAGGGGACCACAGCGGGGCGGAGCTCACCTTGTGGGAGGGTCTGCAGGGGCCCCGAGGCCTGGCTGGGCTGCAGGCTGACCAGGCCCTGCCGCTGCAGGCTGAGCAGGTGCTGCTGCTGCAGTTGCTGCATCTGCAGGAGCTGCTGCTGGAAGGCCAGCTGCTTGTTCCCCAGAGCCTGCGGGGTGGCCCGAGGGGGCGGGCAGAGAGGGGCGCCGTCGGCCTCGGGCGTGCCATCAGGCCCCCACCCCGCGGCCACCCCCTCCCAGGCCCTGTCTGCGCAGGGAGCTGTCGTGGCGGCGTCCGCGGCTGCAGCCTCTCTGCTCCCGGCCCAGCTTCCATAGGGCTGCATGCCTCCTCGCAGTAAACACACGCAGGCACGCACGCACGCGCGCGCACAAACACACGCAGCCAGACCCAGACACGCAGCACGACGCCAGCCCTGCCCCCTCCGCCGCGCCAGCTCCCGCACCGCAGCTGTGCGCCTGGGGGGCCTCTCGTCAGCGTGATGGATGAGCCAGTCAGTGCTGCCCCCCACCACAGCATCCCCTTCCAGCATGCCTGGGAGCCCCTTCTGCCCCAGGGGAGGAGGTGCTTCCTCCCCCTCCCAGATCCTGCACTCTGCTTTCTAGACAGAGAACCAAGGGGCGGAATGAGACAGGGCAGGGAAAGGTACCTCAGGCTGCAGGGCGGCACTGGCCTCGGCTCCCGCCCACCCCTCACGCAGGCACTGACAAGCAGGCTGTCAGCAGGGCTCCCAGCCGCGGAAACCAAGCCTGTCCATGCAACAGGGGAGGCAGCGCCTCCCCTGCCTGCAGGAGGCCGAGGGGGTGGGAGTGGGGGTTGTTGGCTACTCCAGGACAGAAGAGAGGATGGAATGTCCGATGTCCTCAGGGTGGCCCCTGGGAACAGGTACCTTAGAACAGGGACTTTGGCTTGGCCAGCAGGAAGGAAGCACAAGGCTGTGGCGTGGGGGCTGGGCAGAAGTTGGAGCAGGGGAGGTGCATGCTGAGGACAGAGAGCGGAGGGGCTGGGTCCCCGAGAGCCACGCAGTCAGGAGGACAGCACAACCATGAGGCAGCTGGACACGACATTCCCATACCAGGGATGAGCACAGGGTGGAGACACCACCACTGGGGCAGGGAGGGAAGAAAGCCTGCGCAGCCCCCTCCGCTGGGGGCACAGCTCTGTCCTGTTTCTCCCTCCCCCGCTGCCCCGGGCGGCACTCCCAGCCTGCTGGCCCTGGCCACTGGAGGGCTGGTGCTGCAGGTGTTGGGATGGGGGCTCCAGGGGACATCTGGTGCCTTGGGCCAGGCCGCTGCGGCGTCTCACCTCCTTGGGCTGCTGTTTCCCAGCCTGCTGCTGGGTAAGGAGCTGTAGGTGCAGCTGCTCTTGTTGCTTCTTGTAATATTCCTGAAGCTGTAGAGGGGACAAGGCAGGGGACAGTCAGCTGGCAGGGACGGCTGCCTCCAGCCCCAGCTACGTCCTGCCAGGGGCGGGGTAGGGGTGGGGTGGCCAGGAGGGAAGTGTGCCTCACCCCCCTATCCCCATCTGCCTCTTGCAGGAGTCCTTCGCCCATCCCGGAGATGGGGTCAGGTGCCCCAGGACTTTGCCCTACCCTGGAGCTCCAGAGATGGAAGTGAGGCCAGCACAGGGGCATACGGGTGCTGGGGGCTGCTGAGTGGGACCTTTGGCCTCCCAGCAGCCCTGGAGGAATGCAGATGGCCAGGCCTGAGCTGTTGCACTGGTTTCTCCCACAGCGCCACCGTAAACGGGGAGGGAGGTGGGGTTGCCGCTGCGGAGGCCAGACCCACCTGCTGCAGCATGAGCGCCTGCTGCTGCTGGAGCAGGGCCTGCAGCTGGGACGGCGACAGGATCTGCTGCATCTGCTGCGGGGTGAGCATCTGCGGTGACATCATGGCCACGGACACGGGCACCTGCGGGGTTTGCCCTGTCAGTGAGGGGCAGCGCCTGGGGCCACCCACAGTGTGGCACAGCAGCTCCCAGTGGGCTGCCAGGGCACTGCTGCCTCCTGGCTGTATCTTTTTTTGGACAAGGGACAGATCCCTCTTCTGCTTTTCTTATTTATAAATGAGAACAGCAGCTGCGCTCGGTGGCCCAGGCCTGTAATTCCAGCACTGAGGAGGCTGAGGCAGGAGAACTGCCGCGTTTGAGGCCAGCCTGGGCTTCATAGTGTGTTCGAGGCCTGCCTAAACTACAGACCGAAACCCAAATGAATCAGTCAAGGGAACAGCACGGGTGCCTGCCCCCGTGAGGCACAGTGAAGGCTGGGCAGGTAACAGCAGGGCAGAGCCAACGGCAGCCAGTGCCTTAAGGTTGGCCGTTTATTGTAGCATGCGTCCTTGCAAGGAGAAAACCAGACCTGAGTGACGGGGGCAGCGGAACCAGGAATGGATGGGCCTCCCCCAGAAACCAGAGCCGCAGGGCTCCAGGCGGTTTCCAGCTCTGGCTTGGCCTGAGACTGCTGGCCAAAGCGCCTACTGTGATGGGAAAGATTGAGAAGTGGCCCACCTGGCAGGGGACCTGGAGCCCGGCCCGCTCACATGTGTGTCACACTGCCCCACACTGGTGCCTGAAGCACACAGTGACCCAGACCTGAGACCCAGGAGCCCTGCAGGCACCATCCTGGTGAATGTATGCGTCGCCGTGTCTTCGGTGGGGTGGGAGGGACAGCGGGCAGGGAGTTGCAGGGACAGTAGGCTTCTTCTCCGTTTAGCTCTACACACAACCTACTGTTCCACCTAGAGCAAGTCACTAGCCCTCTCTGGACCATCACTTTCCTCAATGTAAAGCAAGGGGTGGGACCACAAGAGATGCTTCTTAGCCCGAGCATCCTGGATTCTCAAAGCAGAGGGGCTCTCTGCCTCCTGCCTGGGTCGGGCCTCTCTGGAAGGCCCAGTGCATCCAGCTACCTGGAAAAGGCTCAGTAAAAAGCAGAAGCATCTGTCTTTCCCAGTTCCTCCTTCCCCAGTATCTCCAGGCCTGTGCAGTCTGGAGTAGGTAGGGCTCAGCCCTGTCTTAGCAAGATGGGTGCCCAATGGGGCTGTCTGCTTCCCGACCCGGGCCTTGGGGCCCAGACCTCTCCCTCCGCTCTGCAGAGGGCCAAGCGTACAGTAGGTGCCGGTAGCTCACACAGCTGCCACCTTCCCCAGGGAGCAGAGCCCTGGATAGGGAAGGGTGTCCTGCAGAGACTTGTCCCTCCCCCAGCCCCAGCCAGGCCCTACCTGCAGGACAGGACTCAGCAAGGAGGGCTGTGAGTCTGGGATTAGGAAATCCCCTGGATAGGCGGAAGCAGGGAGGAGCTGGGATGTGGGGAAATCCCGGGGTGCTGGGTCTGCCTGCCACCCTGGAACTGGTGGCTGAGCCCTGTCCTGGCTCTCCTCCCCCTCACTAGCAGTGTCTGTGCCAGTGTCTCCAGGAGGGATGGTGACCGAGCTTTCTAGCTCAGGGACCCTAAGGCAGCCAGCTCCTGTGTTGGCACCTGGGGTGGCCGCTGAGGGGACCTGAGTTAGTGAAAATCCCAGCAGCCCCCAAAGCTGAGCCTAATTGCCTCTCCTGCCCTCCTCCTGGGGGAGTACCCAGCAAAACAGGCATCACGGCAGTGGTGGCCAGGGGTGTCTTTGTAATCACCCCAGTCTGCTGCCTGGGCTGCTGGCCCCTGGCCCTCTTACCTCCCCATTCTCACATGGGAGGAGGCTGGAGACAGCAGGTGCCAGGAACCCATGGGTCTCACCCTAGGGGTCCATGTCCTTGCCCCATCCCTGAAAGCAAAAGAGGATGAAGGAAGGGCGCGGTGTGGCCAGGGCCACCTGGGAGCATAGCATGGGCCCTCGTTCTCCACCCAGGGCTGGGCTAGCAGGACACTGCGTCCCACAGCAGGAGTCACAGAGAGTGGCCAGCAAAAAAGGATGCGGCCTCACCTCCCTGGAAGCCGGAGGATGGAGGTGACCTGGGGTGGCCTCTCTGGCCTCGACTCCTGCCATGCCCCATGGGCACATGTCCAAGGTGACCAGAGGGCTACGGTGTCTCCCCTGTTCTCCTTATGTTGGCTAGGCCCAGGATCCCCACAGGGATAGCAGCAGGGGCTAGGCTGGAAGGGTCAGGGGCAGTGTCAGACACAGAGGAAGCTTGTTTGGAGATGGCAGGGATGTGATCTGGTATCAGAGGGGACTTACACTCAAGTGTAAGTGTGGGGTCTGGGATCTCTGAGGAGTGGGGAGCGGTATGGGGATGAAGCTGGAGTTTGGATTAATTCCCTTTCAAGGGACCAGAAGAGGCTCAGACTGAGTCTGTGCTAAGGTCACAACAGGAAAGAGAGTGGTGGGACATCAAGAGCTTCTGGGGAGCAGACAAAAGCCCTGGATCTCGCCCGGCCACCTGCACTGCCTTCTGCCACCCAGCTGGCCCTGCCGGACCCAGGCTTGGCCAAGCCAGGCAATAGCAGGAGCCTCTCTTCCTCCTTCTCTCCTCTGGCTCAGCCAGGCCCTGCCCTCGATCTCCCCTCTCCCCGACAGCCTGGAGCTTGCTGCAAAGCTGTTTCCAGGGCCTGGACCCCACTTGGGCAGACCCCCCACCTGCTCAGCGACTGGAACTTTGGCGGGAGGTACAGAAAGGACACAGGCAGGAGAGAAGGCGGTCCACAGCCCAGCCCAGGCTCTGGGGATGCAGGGCACAGGGCGGCTGAGCGATTCCGCAGCTGTGGGTTTGGGTTCAAACCTGGGCCCTGCCCTTTATCCATGGGGTTCTCATTCAACCCCAGCTTCTGCATGTGCAGGACGGGCAGAATCCTAGCACCTGCCCCTGGGATACAGGACAGTGTGGCCGCCCGGCATCTGCTGCATGGCAAGCTGTCCTGGGGATCAGCTGTGGCCCAGGGAGAGCTCAGAATCTGCTGTGGGATGGGTAGATGATGGGGAGGTCAAGAGGTAAGGAGGGAGAAGATGTGGGATGCCAGCCACTTCTGTCTTTCTGACCCCAAACCTCAAAACGGCTGTCATTGTGGGGGGGCTTCCTCATGCCCACCCGGGGGCCCTGGAGCACTGCGAGGGCCTTCTGAGTGGGGGTCAGTGTCACCCCTGTCTGTAGCCTGGCACCCTTGTTTGTGCAACACCAGAGGTCTAGACCTGAGCTCCTAGGGTGGGGCTCCTCCTCCCCTGCGGCCACGCCCCTCTTTGCCAGCTCCCCCCTTGGGGTAGCGCTGGGCCCCAGGTTGCTCAAAGGCTACTGACTGCTGGGGCCCCACAGCTGCCCGGCACCTTGAACCGTTTCAAAGCGCTTTCCAAACATGTGCGTGTCTTTTATAAAACCCAGCTACTCAGTCGGAGCGCTGGAATCTCCCCAGGAGAACCCCATCCAGGCCCTCCCCCCACTTCCCGCTCCCCTGCCCAGCCCCCAGAGCCCCCAGACTCCACAGCGGGCCGGCTCGGGATCAGCTCTGCGTCCCTCACTCTTCCTCCCTTAGATAAACTTCCTTTCAAAGCCCCCTTAATCCTCTCCCCGTCCCCAGCCACCCCTGCTGCTGGGGTGGGGGCGGGGCGGGCTCGGCTGCCGGGCCGGGAGGGGGAGGGGGCGCCGCTGCCCCCGCTGTGACCCAGGCAGGACTCGACTGCAATTCTCCCAAGTTCTTTGTGACACAAAAGGTAAACAGAAGGCCTGGCTTCCCCCCACTCCTCGCGATCCCTCTCCCCCAGCCAGCCAGATGGGCCGGGCGCGGGGGGAAGGGAGGAGGGGAAAAAAGGGCAGATTGTGCGAAGGAAAACAAAAGAGACCTAGAGACACCAGAGACAGGAAACCAGGAGAGACGCGAGACGGGAGAGCTGCGGGGAAGCGGGGCGGGGGAGGGCGGGGGAGGGCTGGGACCCCAACCCGGGGCTGCCCCCTCCCTCCCTCCAGGCCCTGGGGACAGGGGGACGATGACAGCGTGACCCCCCGGGACGGGCACGGGAGGGAGTCTGAGCGGTGACGGGAGACCCTGACAGGTAGGAGCCCGCGCTGGAGTGACGGGAGCGGCGGCCGGGCAGACGCGGAGACGCAGAAAGTGCAAGTTTCTGGCCGCCCTGCTGCGGGCTGGGGGCGCGCGAGGAGCGGCAGGAGGGGCTCCCCCGGGGTCCCCGACCTCCCTCTGGGCCAGCTCCCCTCACCTGCACCGCAGAGGCAGAGGCGGAGGCGGTCTGCTTGCTGTCATTGCTCCCCGGGGAGCTCAGGCCTGAGGCCTGCTGCAGCAGGAACTGGCGGGCCACCTGGAAAGCCTGCAAGACGGGGCTGAGTCAGTGCGCGGCCCGGCCGGCCGGCCGGCGGAGAGCAGAGAGAGCGCGGCGGCCCTGGGCGGGCCAGGAGAGTTCGGGCAGTAACTAGGAGGAGTGCTGTGGGAGTGGGGAGGAAGGACCCAGCAGGATCCTGTGAGGACTCTGGGGACACCAAATGGCAGGGCACTCAGCACACCTGGAATCCTAGCACTCTGGGAGGCCGAGGCAGGAAGATTGCAAAGTCCAACCCTGGCCAACTTTGCAAAAACCTGACTCAAAATAAAACATTCTTAAAAAGGGGCTAAGCCCCAGCTCAGCAGAAGAGACCTTGGGTCCCATCCTCAGTACTCACACACACACAAGCACTTTCTCATCGAGCATCTATGTGTCAGGCACCTTGACAGGCTGGATTTCAGTCTTTCCTGAGCAGCTGAAAGGGAGAGATGTACCAGCCCCATTTTACAGGTGAATAAACTGAGCTTTTGGGTCAGTAACTCATCCAGGATCAGTAGCGAGGACTCGAGCCCAGGAAGCCTCACTGGGGGTTCAGTTTGGGGGATGGGAACCCCCAGGAAGGATCAGCAGGGGACCTCAGGGTCTGAGGAATGCCTTGCTTTCTGAGTTCACAGAGTTTGGGTTTAAAGCCTCCTGGCCCTGGGAAAACCAGATTGGAGAAGCATATCTAGCCCAGCAGGCTAATCTCAATCGGTCTGCAGGGACTCCTGGACTTTGGGGTATGACACCCTCTGCCTCTAGGCTCCTTAGAGATTCTCAGGGAGCCCCAATAGGGCCTGGTATCAGGCAGGCCTGGGCTGGGGTCGCCACATACAGACTCCCAGTTCTGACCTTGGGCAGGTCCCCATCTCTCTGCACCGTGTCCTTGTCTCTAAAACTGAGGGTTCAAGGCCCCCGGGCCTGATATCTCCCTGGCATCTGTGCAGTGTCATCTCCCCTTGTCACCTGTCTCCTCCCCATACAGCCCTGGTCACACAGCTTGAGTGACGATCTGCCACCTGTGGCTCCTTCTGAGTCTGTCCCCACCCTCATATGACCTCAACTCAAACACTGCAGACCCAAAAGCTCCTGCCCATCCCGCAGGGTCCCCACCCAGGGAGGGATCCTGGGCTTCTAGAGGGAGATGGCTGCTAGGGCCTCAAGGGTCACTTGGGAAAGCAGGAAGCTGACCTATCTGATTCTTGGGGCTTGACAGAGCTGTGGGAGGTGGCCGGGTAGTCACAGGAAGGGGCCTGGCCTCTGTGCCTCCATGGCATGGCTTTACCTGACCTCTTCCAGGTCTAAGGACAAATACTCGCTGTGCCCCACCCCCAAAGTTGTGGACAGCATGGAGGGGCACAGTGCTTGGTAGGAGCCCAAGGGTGAGGCAGAGGTGGAGGGGGGGAGATGACATCACCCAGCGGGGCCTCGGCAGGTGAAGGACCCTGGATCCTGGCAGGCAGAACAGGTGAGGTCTTGGGGAGGCTAGGGCACAGGGGGCCAGAGGGCCGTCCCCTGCAGCATGAAATTCCAAGACACAGACGGAAAACAACAGGGCCTCGTGGTCTCACTCTGGAAGACGGTGACAGGCCCTCTGCAGCCCCCCAGCTCCCCCATCCCCTGGCACTACTCCGTTCTACCCGCCAGGGGCCCTCCCCCGACCAGCCGTCACCCTCTCCTTCAGGCCACACTCTGCCGCAGGGGCTGCAATGCAGGGACAGAGATTGGCATCTGTGTCCTCTCTGCTGGGGAGGTTGGGTGGGCTTCCCAGAGGAGCCACCTGCCTACTGCCTAGCCCTGACCCAGCGGCCCCTGGAGCTCATTCTGTGCTGTGATGGGCCGGGACACTGGGTAGATCCTGGGCTCCACCTCTACACCCCAGTGCAGCACAGTGCAGGGGGCCCAGGGTCCCCAGGGGCTAGGTCACCTCCCTTAGTGGGCCACCCGGGGGCCAGGCAGGCCTCAGGCTTCTCGTAGCCCCTTTTGAGCCAATCAATCACTCTAATGCGCCAGGTGTCAGGGTCTGGCGCTGGGGTTTGATAAATCACAGGACTGCCCACCTCCTAGAGCGCCGGAGACCAGGCCCTACCCTCGCACAGCCAGCTCCACTTCCTCAGCTGCTGCCGGGTGGACTGGAGGCACCTACCAAACACTGACTCTTACAAAGGCCACGGTGAGCACCTGTGCCACCATCAGCACAGCAGACCCGACAGCTCCCTGAAAATCTACTTCTGTGTGGCCGAGCAAGGAAGGCGGCACAGGCCTACTTGAGTGGGACAGAGTATTTGTACTGTGCTTTGTAGTTTTGTGTTTTTTTTAGGCAGATCCTACTATGTAGTTCAGGCTGGCCTTGAACTCACTGTGCAGCCCAGGAGATCCTCCTGCCTCGACTTCCTGAGTGCTGCGATTACAGGTTACGTCACCACACCTGGCACACTTTGCAGTTTTCAGGGCACCTGACCAAGCCTTTACCTGCAGCTTCACTACCCCGAGCTGGCAGGCCTAAGAATCGGACCCTTGGTGTGCTGGCCTATCCTGGTCCCCCACATAGGCCCTTCCTTTCCCAAGCTGACAAGCCATGAGGGACAAGCCTTGAGGACGGTGTGCAGGGAGGAAGAGAGGAGCCCGCTCGGCCTTTCAATCTTGCTCTTCGCCCTCCGCAGCCTCTGCTGAAAACTGACCCCAGCTCTGTGTGAGGGCTCGGGGTGAGGTCGTGCCCCCCTCACGGCAGCCAGGGCTGACTGCTCGGCCTGACCCTAGCCAGACAGCTGGACCCTAGTCCTCACTCGGCTGCATGCCAAGTGACCAGGGGTAAGGATGTCAACTCTTGGGCCCAGCTCCTCCTCTGCAAAGCTAGCCAGCACCCTGGCCACTCTCCAGCACCCGTGGGTCCTGCGCCAGTGAAAGTCACTACTGTCCTGATTACGGCCTGTCACCAGGCAGTGGGGCTCTGCCCTGTGACCTGAGGCTCCTTCCAGGGCCCCCCTCCCATTCTCCTTAATGAAGCCAGTCCTGCTGCGAAGTCATTAGCGGGACCTCCAAATTAGGAGCAAATGGCTTCTGAGGATGGTGTCCAGGGCGGGTGCTGGGGAAGAGGGACAACGGGACGGGGGCGGCTGCAGTGCAGGCCACAGCACATGGCCCAGAGAAGAAACAGAAGCCTCCCTTCAGGCAACGCTGCACCCGTTTCTGCTCCCCAGGACTTGGGGTGCGGGTCCTCCTAAGGAAGTCAGGTGCAGGCCTGGAGGAGGCCCGGTCTAAGCTGGGCTCCCCAACTCTGTGTGTGTGTGTGTGTGTGTGTGTGTGTGTGTGTGTGTGTGTGTGTGTTACTGACTGAACCCCAGGTCTCTGCACTGAGCTACACTCCCAACCCTTTTTAGTTGTTTTTTATTTTGAGGCAGGTCTTGCTGAATTACTACGTTATGCTCCTGCCTCAGTCTCCCAGACCTGGGATGACAGGTACACCCTGGCGCCTGGCCCCAACCCCGTGTGTATCTGGGTCACAGGCCTGTGCTGATCAGGGCACTAGGATGGAACAGAAAGGTGCAGGCCCAGCACTTAGCACCCACGGCCCCAGCGAGCCCAGAGGGTCACTGGGTATCTGTTCAAATGACCGGTCATGACCTTGTATTGGATCAAAATCTACAAATGTTATATACACATGTATTTCATGTATTCCTACTTACACGGGTCTTATGAGAACACGGGAGCCGGGCCAGGTGGTGCATGCCTCCAATCCCAGCATGCGGGGAGGCTGAGACAGGGGGATTGCAAGTCCCGGCCCAGCCTAGGCTACTGAGGAGGAAAAAGGGAGCAGGGGTGTAGCTCAAGGCAGCTCAGGGCGAAGCCCGGTGTACCCCTGGAACTTGTGGGCAAAAGTTCGCGTCGTGGGGGAGGGCGGCCAGAATCAACAAGCCCCAAACCTCTTTGGTCTGCATCTGATGAATTCTGTTAAAACTGCTCCCCCGCCACCCAAACTGTCCCCATCATTAGTTCTTTTGGGGTGGGTGGGAGAGCAGGGCAGATTTGGAAAGAGAGGAGGAAAGGAGTCTGAGGGTCACCCTTACCCCAGCAGTGACCTTAAAGGTTTCCCTCCACCCTCTAGGCCCTGGTTATCCAAGGAGACTGCAGCACAGTGGAACTGTCAAGGACAGCAAAGATTTGTGCAAAGGTCCTGAGGTGGAAAAAAAACACCTCAGAGCAGCTGGTGATAAAAATGCCAGAATCAGAGGGCATGGTACAGTGATTCACCCCCCCCCCCTTCAATTTCATTCTACACTGAGGGAATAAGCACTGCAGGATTTTGAGCAGAAAACCATAGAATCTTTGGTACCCAACCGGAGGCCAGTAAACAGCAGGTGCCTAATAAGTGCTCTTTGATTTGAATTCAACACCCATCCTGCAAAATGCAACTCCTCAAGGGGTAGCGGGTGGAGGGAGGGGAGCACAGGGGTAGTGGAGAGGGGTCAGAGGTCAGAGGTCAGCAGCCATGGAGGGAGCTCAACTGGGGAGCCACAAGTTCTCGACCAGCCAGGCTTTGTCCTCCAGCAAAGGGACATAAAAATGAAATTACACAGAGAAGCGGGCAAAAGAGGGTGGGGGAGAGACCATAAAACCCCCGAAGTGATTCCACACTTTTTTTTCCTTGAGAAAAAAAAAAAAAAAGCTTTTTGGAAAAGGTTGTAAATTTTTTTTACACCAACCTCATAAAAATGACATCGGCACATTCTCAAATTAGAACCATTAAAATGAAAACCAGGGCTGTGCAGACACAGGCAGTCCCACGTGGGTGGGAACCTGAGCCCTGGAGGTGGCAGTGGCGGTGGCGGCCGGGGCTCAGCGCTTGCCCCTGACCACAGCCATCCTGGTATGGCCCTTGGGGGCCCAGCCTCCTCCTGGCTCCAGGCTGCCCCCTGCCCTTGCCACTGCTGTGGGACCCCCAGAGGAAACCAGCTCACCACTGGGGCTCCCGGCCTGGCCCGGCCCTGACTGGTGGCTTGGGTTTTAGGACCCTAGCTACGACCCTTGTTCTATATCCTTGGTCCTCAGTACAGGCCCCTAGCTGTCCAGTCCTCTGCCCCCTGAAGTTCTCATGAATAGCCACAAGCACTTGGCCATGAAAGGGGGAGGCGGGAGTCCTAACACCCCCAAAGAACGAAGGACCCTTCCTGCCAGCACCCCCCCCCCCGCTCTACCTAGCTCTATCCTGGGAAAATCGAGGGCACCAAGGAGGGGCAAAAGGGAGGGGGTGGTGGTGATAGCAGCCTGTTCCCCTGTGCCTAGCACATCACCGAGCCCCCCACATCGCCTGCCCCTTGGCTGCTTAGCTTGTTGGGGTGCCTGGAGGTGGAGTCTCCAATACTCCTCCACACAGCATATGATGTGGCTGGGTGTCCGAGGGAGAAACGGACCCGACCCACGGACAATCACAGCGGGCGCAAGGGCTGTGGGGTGCTGACCCCCACTTCCCACTCCTAAGCATCCCAGGCAGAGCAGGGCCAGATGGAGAGGAAAGGACAGCAGTCTCTTCCATTCTTTGGCTGCCCCCCCCAGTCCAACCCCTCCCATCTCTGCAGAGGGGGCTGAGCTAAAAAGCCCATGAATGCACGGAGCCCCCCGACCCTTTTGAGTCTCCTCACAGGATGTGAGCGGGGTGGGATTTGGCCCGGTTGCCACAGTAACTGCGGTGGGAGTTCCTAGATGCTAAGCAACCCTTCCGTGACCCACCCTGACCTGTCACCCCCCTGCAACCTGCACACAATGGGAATGTGGGAGCCAGTGGAGGCCCAGGCCCCTTTCAGCCCTGCCTCTGTCCCCCAAGTCCGGCTCTCCTCATCCTGCCTGAGGCCCCTGCCCCCCAAGCCTGTGGCAGACCCTCCTGGCCCTCAGCAGTCCCGTTATCTGAGAGTCCAGAGTGTTTGTGGCATCCCTGGGGCACACTGGCACATCTTTTTTTTTTTTTTCCCACAGAGCGCATCTTTAAATGCCACCTGATGGGGTGAAGATGCAGAGGGGTGCACACAGGGCCAGAAGCCCTGGCCATGGAGGGGCGGGGCGGACAGGGCCTGCCTGTGCTGCGACAGCAGCAGGAGGTGACCAGCTCTGCCCTGGGCTCTGGCATGTGCACCCTTCTGGGGGTCCTCTGGTGAGAGCCCCATAAGGGGCTGGGATCCTCTGTTGCTCAAGCCCTGGCCAGCCAGCCGGACACCCCGGCTTCTGTTTGAACAAGCCCCAGGCGTGCTGGGCACATGGAAACCGCATGACCCGCGTGCTGTTTACCTCGTCCGAGTCAGTGGGGCCTGACTTCTGATCACCCTCTCTCCCTCTCTGTCAACTCATTACTCCTGAAGGCCAACGCTGCATTTCCAGGGCTTGTTTACCCAGAACAGAGGGGCCAACGGGTAGGTGCAGGGAAGTGGGCCCCAAGACCCAGGAGGGCACGGGCAGGAGGACAGGGCCTGGGGCCACCCCTGGCCACACCTCGGCCCCTGCTTCTGGAGTGGCAGAGGCCCAGAGTGGCCAGGGCTGCTTTTACACTGCTGCTCTGAGACCCAGGCTGGCCTCGAACTCGTGACCTTCCTGCTCAGCCTCTGCAGTGCACCACCAAGTCCGGCTGTTTTGTGTTTGTTTTGTTTTGCTTTTTGCTTTTGGTACTAAGAATTGAACCTAAGACCTGTGCATGGAGCTATACCCTCAGCCCCTTAAAAAGATCTGTTTTAGTCAGGTATGGTGGTATACACCTGTGATCCCAGTACTTGGGAGGCTGAGGCAGAGGAATACTGTGAATTCGAGGCCAGTCTGGGCTACATAATGAGTTCAAGGCCAGCCTGATCTACATGGTGAGGCCCTATGTCAACACACACACACACAAAATTTTTTTAACTTTTGAGACAGGGTTTCACTAAGTCAAATCGCCCAGACTGGGCTCAAACTTACACTCATCCTGCCTCAGCCTCCCAAAGTACCAGGACAATACGTTATCACCTTATCCACTCTTTCTTGTTGCTACTGCTGTTCTGAGAAACACTTTAGGGCTAAACAGGAAGGCACAAACTTGTTTATTCCAGCTACTCAGGGGGCTGAGGCAGGAAGACCACTAAGCGGGGAGGTCAGCCTGAGCAGCTTAGCAAGAGTGTCCCGCAATGAAGCCTGGGTAAGAGCCTGGCTGCACAGCTCGGCAGGGCCCAGAGTGACTCCCTGCTACTGTCCCTTGTACACTAAAGGCCTTTTGGGGAAGGGGGCACTCTTATCGGGCACAGTGCAGCTGGGGGCGGGCAGGAACCCTGAGGCCAAGCCTGGCAGCTACTGTTATACTTTTGGGTTTTATCACTGGACAGGGCAGTGCCTGCCTCTGGCTGCCCCGTCTTTGCAATGGAAATAAAAACCTCAGAACCCCGACTCTGGGATGGAGAGGTGATTTCGTGACTGCAGGCGTGAATAAAGTTGTTCTCGAAGGACTTGCTGGCAGGGACTGGGCGGGAGGCAGGATCCAGGCCAGGCCCTGCGTCTTCCCCACCCCTGTGCACCTCTTATGTTGCTGTCGGAAGACCACGGGCCTTACCCGAGAAGTCCCCCAAAAGCCTCATGCGTACCTATGGGGTGGTGGAGGGACAGCCCGCACTGTTTCCTTTTAATTGGAAATCCTTTAATTTTAATTTTGCAGGGTTCTTCTTGGAGTTCGAAGCCAACAAAACCTTTTTTTTAATAAGTCTCAAATATTTTCCTTGGCCCCGGGCACTGCGCCCACAGAGAGCCCAAATGGATAAAACAGCCCCGCGCCCGACTCCAGATCCCCACCCACCCCGGTTTATTTGTGAAACCGATATAGGATTTTCCAGGACTTTGGGATATTCCCCAAAACAAACAGGAATAACTGGAATGTGCAGGGTGGATGGCAGAGCTTGTGTGCAGTGTGGGACCCAGAAACCCGATCGGTACAGCCCGTCCCGCCGCTCCCCCGCCCCCCCCAACATCACTCTGCTTCTCCAGAGCTGGGTTCCTATTTTGCTTTCAGTCTTTTTTTAAAAAGAAACTCACCAGTTTTGGCTTCATCTCCCCTCCACCTCCTGCCACACTTGAAACTTTTCTGAGCTCTGCTGGCATAGGGGAGGGGCCCTGAGCTCAGGTACTCTCGGTGGGGTGGGGTGCAGTTGTTATTTTGATGAAGGCTGGGATTCTGCCCTCTGACCTTCTGTCTCCAGCAGGGGGCACAGACTCTGGGTCTCTTCCCCAGGGAACCTACTGGGGAGGGTTGGGGTTGGGAGAGACCACCAAAGTCCCTCCTGAGGGCCAAGACGGGCCCTTCCCTCTCCTGCCGGGCTAGGGGAGGTGGCTGTGAGAAGCCCCATTCCTAGACTGTCCATGTCCACCCAAAAAAGTTGGGGGGGTAGAGGTGGGGGGGACCCTCACGCCCAGGCTGCACTGATCCTCACAGCCCTGATGCTTTTGGGGCCAAGTCAGCCCGGGTGCAGGGAGGCCCACAACTCGGCCAAGGTCACACTGCTGTGGGGTGCGGGCCATCTGGGAGCTAACCAGGTTCCTCCCATTCCTGCTCCAGAGCCCAGCGAGCGGCTGTCCGACCTCTGGATCCGGGGAGTGTTAAAGGCTTACAGGCTGGGGTGGTGGCTGGGAGCCCAGGAGCAGTGTCTTGGCTTTTTTTTTTTTTTTTTTTTTTTTTTTTGCGATTGACCAAGTGGCTGGGACTACAGACCCGACCAGCATGTCTATGCTTGGAGGGAAGCATGAGACCCTGTGGGTGACCCCTGAGGCAGCATGGGTCAGTGGGTGAGGAGGGCCAGGCAGGACCCCTTTTCCAGGGCCCCAGCAAAGCTCCAAGGGCCAGTGCCACCAGCAATGATTTCCAGGAGCAGAGTCCAGAACAGAGGCCCATCTCTGCCTCCAGGCCTGGCCTTTGCCTTGGTGCTGGGAAATTTAATCAGGAAGTGAAATCGCTCTTCAGCTTGGATCAGGGACCACGCTGACCCGGGGGCGGGCAAGTTTTCTGAGACACAGTGAAGGCTCCCCTGGACACATGCACCCTTGGCCCTGTTAATCTAGCTTTTCCCAGCCAGCACCAGGGTGGAGAGGCGCCTGTCAGTCCTCAGGACATTTCAGGGCCTGCTCCAAGCTCGGGAACTCAGAGCCCCAGGCCTGCTAATCTCTAACTGCCCCAGGCTCAGGGCCACCTACAGGCAGGCACAGAGGGAGGGAAGCCCTGCAGCGTGAGGGAAAGGAGCTGTGGGCTGAGGCAGGGCGAGGCCGCCTACCTGTTGCTGCTGAAAGTGTAGAAGCTCCGCAGGGCTCATCTCACCGTTGCTGTCTGCACTGGCCACCGCGTCCCTACCGCCAGCGTTGTCCCTGCCCGGGCCGCCTGCGGCTGTGCCTGCAGCCCCAGTCCCGCCACCGCCATCCGCCTGCCCAGAGAGGCTGCCCACGCCGTTCTGCCCAGACGGAGCCGACCTGATTGTCTCCGAGGCAGATTCCACCATCATGTCGCTCCAGCGGGACCTGGAGAAGGAGGAGACAGGGAGGGGCTGAGTTCTGGGCGTTTCCTGCCCTCAACTTCCTGGGACCCCTCCAGTGTCACATCCCCAGGTCTGAATAAGGGGTACCTCCCCTCCTGCCACACAACTCCCGGGGGCTCCTACACCTGTCTGGCCTCTCGCCCCAGGCCAGAGTGTTATGAGGATGAGGAGTGGACATCAGCAGGACCCTGTGTTTGTTCTCTGGGGAGGGCCTGGTCTCCAGCAAACAGAAGGTCCCAGTCCACCTTATTCTTTCAGGGAACCATGGCTGCCCCTGGCCCGGCCCTCTGGGCAGCAGCAGATGCAGAGGGGGTGAAGCCTCTGCACTCCGCCTGCCACTCTGAGCCCTCAGCCCGGTACCTGGCCCCAACAGGGCCCTGTCCTCCCTCCTCTCAGCTTATGGGCCCTGGGTTCCTCCTGGCAGAGTCACGCCCAGCAGTACCTGTCCGGCGTGAGCAGACGGGAGAACGGGACGAGGGGTGAGACTCAGAGGGAGAGGGCTGAGCACCCAGCCCTGAGTTCCAGCCCAGCACCAAAGGAATAGAGTAGAAATGAGAATCAGGAGTGAAGCCTGAACTCTGGGCTCAGATCGGGCCTCTCAGCTTCCCAGAAAGGCCAGCAGAAGATGAGGGTCAAGGGCGGGGGCAGCAGGGCTACTGGCTGAGCATCCTGCGGAGTGTAGGCTGGAGGCTCTGACACACAGAGCTATCCAAACCCTGCTCCAGGATCCTCGGCTCCTCCTAAATCCCAGTCTCCTCATCCCTCCGTGGACTCAATCCCTGACTCCTAGGGTGCTGCAGGGAGGACATGAAACAGCACCCACGAGGCCCCTTGTGGGTGTATGTATGACACCCACAGCCTCATTCTCCAGCTCTCTGAATCTAACGAGGGTGCTCACAAGTCCCTGACCTGCCCAGCAAAGCCGAGGGAGCCAGGCATCACCCTGTCCCTGCCAGGGGCCTGGGAGTCTCCAGCAGCAGGAAGAGCCAGGCTCCTTCCTGGGGCTCCCACATCCTCTCCTTTCCTTTGCCCCACTGGACTCCTGGTTGAAAGCAAAGAGGAAGGGGAAATGGGGGGCATGGACAGTGGACCGAGAGCTGCTGAGGGTGGACACCCGGTGGACACCCTGTCATTGATTCCACTGTCCTGGTCCCAGTGGACACTGGGTGGCCTGCTGGGTGCCTCACACTGGTGAATTTCTGTGTCCCTGGCTTCCTCACCTGCCCTTCACTGCCCCTCCATCCTTGGGTCCTGGGGAGGGGAGGGCAGGACGTGGGTGATGCTCAGAAAAGATGGAGCACTTGGTCTCTGGGGCCTTAATGGCCACGTCAGCCTGGGGCCTAGTAGCTTCGAATGATGGATGGAGCGGGCCCTGTACTCCACCTGCCACCGCACAGGCTCAGCAGCCTCCCAAGGCGCTGCAGGAGCCAACCCTCCCACCTGACCTGGGCCTCGGGGACAGAACGGGGTGGGAACACAGCGGCCACTCTGCTCTCTCCCCCCAGCCCTGGCCTTGCTGGCTTGGGGAGCAGCTGTGGCCACCCGGAATCCAAAGGCAGCTGCTTGGAGAGCGAAGGACCCCTGGGCCTCTGGGGACAAAGGCCAGTGTGCCAGGGTGTAAGGACACTCAAGAAAAAGCAAAGAAATTTCAGCAGTTACCTCCCTGGGAGTAAGGTAATGTCCCCTTTCTGATATTTATAGGAACATGGTAAAGTTGTAGATCAGACAGCAAATTTGGAAAAAGAAGAAAAAAAGGGGATGGACACCAAGGTGTCCCTTTCCTCCCCATCTCCCTGTCGGGGGGCACAGAGCAACACCCAGGGAACCACGATTGCTGCAATGTGGCGTGTAATGGCTATTCAAGGGCCCATCATTCATATTAAAAGGATGAAGCAAGCCTTCATTTGCATGCTTGAGATTATATGCATTTGAAAAGTCATTTCCGCAGGGTGTATGAATGGCATTAATTCCCATGTGGCATGCTCTGCCCCCTTCCTGGGGCCTGGCCTGCCCCCTCCTGGGGCCCTGGTGACACATATCCAGCACCTCCTGCCCACCCACAAACCACCACCACCCTACCCCGAAATCCGGCCTGGCTGCCACTCCCTGGCCAACTCCGACTCCTCCTGCCTGGGACAGTTGCCTTCTAGAGTTAAGCCTACCAGCAGCCAGTCACTTCCTATCACCCTACCACAGCGTATGCGATGGGACTGGGGTGTCCCCGGCACTGTGGGAGCGCAGGCTCAGGGTGCCAGCCTGGGCTGGACTCGAGGTTTAGGGCCACAGTCTCCCATCCTCCCAGCTTGTAGACTTCGGAAGCTGTTGGGAGCCACTGAGGGCCCACGGGTCACTCCACCCAGAGCACAGCGCGCAAGAGCCCCTCGGCCATCCCTCATCCCGGCCAGGAAAGGCTAGGCAGGCACACAGGAGAGACTCTCAGCGTGGTGGCCTTGGGCGAGTCACTGTCCTCGCTCACAGGGCGGGGTCCCAGGTCTTTCCAGGATTGACCAGGATAGGGCGGGGCTTTCGTCCTCAAAGCCACCCGTCCCATCCAGCTCCCTCTCCTACCGTGATAGGGGCGGAGCTATTTTGGGGTGGGGACTCCTGTGAGCAGCGTTCCCCCAGGGGGACCCAGGGTACCCAGGAGGCCTGGCCAGGCCCTCAGCCTCCCGCAGACAACGTGGAAAGGAAGGAAGTTGGGTCAAAGCCGCAGCCGCCTCTTCCGCTCTGGGGGACTCTGCGGTTGCAGGGTGCTCCCTCTTCCCCCTGGCGACGAAGCACGCGCAAGTGACCCTCCGAAAGTGTCCGCTGCCCTGCCCCTCCCCTCAGTCCGGAAGGGTCAGTTCCACCGTCCTCGGAGTGCTTGGGGGAAGAGGAGAAAAGACGGGGAGCCCCACACGTGGAGAAATCTTTTGTGCCTCTCCACGGGCCCATATGGCGTCAGGAGTATTAATTACCGCGGCTTTTTAATTAACAGTCGCTTAATCTGAGCAGTAACATTGGCCACCGCACCCCGCGCCTCGCCTGGAACCCGCACCACCCGCCCTGCCAACTCATCAATTAATTTTTATTGACGTTTTCTTCCCCAAACAGGCACAATACCAGGGCTTTCCAATTAACACCTCTGCGATCTCTAATTAGTACAATTAACAGACTGATGGATGCCCAGAGTTTACCCGCCCCGAGGCAGGAGGCGGGGCCAGCCATGAGGGCTGGGGGTGGGGGCGGCACGTGCATGCGGGGCGGGGTGGGGGTAGCTCTTAAGGGAGCACGTGGAGGGGGCAGGACTGACCATGGCTCACCTGTACTACCCCAGCCCTTGGCAAACCTACAGTCTACTCTGGGTCCACCCCAACTCTGGCCACCAGCTTGCAACTTTGCCCTGCCTGATGGGCAGAACTGGACTACATGTAGCTGTAAACCGGGTCTGGTGGCACATGCCTGTAACTCCAGCACTCTGGGAGGCTGAAGCAGGAGGATAGCAAAACTAAGCCCAGCCTGGGCAATTTAGGGAGATTCCCCCACCCCACCCCCGTTTTAAAATAAAAAATAAAGAGACAGGGGGATGGGTTCCATCTCTAGTACCAAAAAAAAAAAAAAGAGGAAGCAGATTGCATAAATAAAAAACAGTTAAAGCCTCTTCAAATATAATAACGTGGCACAGGAGGGGGGAAAGTGCCTCACATTCGCACACCAGACAGAGGACCACAAACCTGAAACGCCAGAACCCCTTGGAAGGCTGGTTACTGCACACCTGCCACACCCCACCCCCATTTCCAATTCAACAGGTCTGCAAGGAACCTAAGAATTTGCATTTCTCAAAAGTCCCCCGCTGTTGGGGAGCTGTCTGTCCTAGGTACCTGGGCTCCCACGCTGAATGCTGGCTTTGGTATTTTTGGTTTGGTTTGAGACAGGGTCTCACTCCGTGGTTCAGACTGGCCTTTAAACTCACTATTGTAGCCCAGGCTGGCCCTGAACTGACGGTGATCCTCCTGCCTCAGCCTCCCAGAGCTGGGAATACAGGGATGTGCTGTCACGCCTGGCTCTGAATGCTGACTTGGATTATCAGCTTCCTAGTGGCCACAGGTAGCAGACCAATCTCCAAATGACACTCATTCTTTCAACGTGGACTTGGGGCATGATTAAGCCAGGCACCGAGGCTCGGCTTGTGGGAAAGTGATGAATGGGCCTGCGGGCTCAGGAGCTATGGGGCAAGACTGGGCCGGGGCAACCACTCATAAGGGAAGTCCTAGCCCCGGCCTTGTTTTTGGAGTGAATCTAACATCTGCCTTTGAGAGAGTGTGGCCTCTAGGGGAGTCTGGTCAGAAACAGAGTCATTTTGCTCCAATGGCCGGCCCTGAGCGTGTTTCCCCAGCAGTGAGCCTTTCATCCACACATGGGTGAAGTAAGTGTTTAAGCACCTACATGCGTATGCCAGGCTCTACCTATGCAGGCCCCAACAGGACAGGACATGGCCCCTGCCTCTGGCCCGCAAGGACCCATGAGGAGTGGCAAAGGACAAAAGGCATAAACAGCTACACTCCAGCTGGGCGTGGTGGCACAAAACTCTCATCTGTACACCCCGGGAAGCTGAGGCAAGACAGTGCAAACTGAAGCCTGGCCTGGGTGCCTGGGAGGCAAAGTGAGACCTTGCCTCAAAATAAAAAATAAAAAGGGCTGGGGTGTAGCTCAGTGCCAAGCCCTGGGATAGAGCCTCAGTACTGCAAAACAAAGCAAAGTCCCTAAGTCAAATTAGATACATTCTATAAATTCTATCCCATGTGGGGACTACGTTGTAGGGAGGGAAGTGGGCCCAGGGATGTAGCTCAGTGGCAAAAGACCTGGCTGGCTAGGGCAAGGTCGTGAGTTTGATCCCTGGCACCAAAAAACAAAAACCCACAAAACCCCAAAGAGGGAGGGTGGGATGGGCGTCCCTTCTGAGTAAACAGCACTCAGCACAGAATCCTGGTTGCTCCAGTCCCA